GTGAAGGCTTACAGAACAAATAGTTTCTCATGAAACAGTAGTACACATGTTGTTTTATGACATTGGTTAACAACCCCACAACATATTAACCCTGTAACTTCTCAACCTTTTTTTTGGTGAAAATACACATAGCCAAAGATACACCATTTCAAAAAATTTCTACATGCACAGTTCAGTGACATTGACTACGCTCTTCCAACTGTGCTGTTATTCTCACTTAAGATGAAGGCTGACAGAACAAAATAGTTTCTCATTTAACAGTTACTACAAATGTTGCCCTATGACAATGGTTAACAAGGGTCTTCCTCTTTTTTTGCTGACCCTCTACTTTACCAAGCATGATGTCCTTCTCCAGGGACTGATCCCTCCTGAAAACAAGTCTAAAGTACGTGAGACGAAGTCTTGCCACCCTCGCTTCCAAGGGGCATCTGGCTGTACTTTTTCTAAGACACATCTCTAAGCCAAACCAAAAGCAAACCCATTGCCTCTGAGTCGATTCCAACTCGTAGCGACCCTACAGGACAGAGCAAAACTGCCCCACAGGTTTTCAAGGAGCAGCTGTGGATTCAAACCGCTGACCTTCTGGTTAGCAGCTGAGCTCTTAACCACTGTGCCACCAGGGCTCCAAGACACATCTGTATGTCTCTCTAAATAACCCTCTTTATATTCTTTCATAGAGTCTCTGGGTAGTGCAAACGGTTAAGCATTCAGCTACTAACCAAAAGATCAGAGGTTCAAATCTACCCAGAAGCACCTCAGAAGGCCTGTCCATCTACTTCTGCAAAATCAGCCACTGAAAACCCTACAGAGAACAGTTCTGCTCTGACACACATAGGGTTGCCATGAGTCAGAATCTACCCCACGGCAATTGGTTTTATATTCTTTCATAAATTCAACAAATATTCAGCTGTGCCACGCACTTCACAGGAACTGTCTCCTTTAATCCTTACAACCACACCATGGTGGAGGTGCTATTATGATACCCATTTTACAGCTGAGGAAGCTGAGGCCCAGAGCAGTTGTTCAGGGTCACACAGCCTGTGTGGGGCAGAACTAGGATTCTGAACCCAGGCAGTCTGGCTCTAGAGTCTGTGTTCTGGATCATACTATAAAAGCATAAAAGTAAGATAAACAAGGAAAATATAAGGCATGATAGATGTAAACCTACAAGAAGGAGCCCTGGTGGCACAATGGTTAAGTGCTTCGCTGCTAACTGAAAGGTCAGTGGTTCAAACCCACCAGCAGCTCCTCAGGAGAAAAGACCTGGTGATCTGCTCCTGTAAAGATTACTGCCTACGAAATCCTACAGGGTACTTCTAGTCTATGAGTCAGAATTGACTTGATGGCACACAACAAAAACAAAGATGGTGTAGGAGTCCCTGGGTGGTGCAAATGGTTAATGTGCTCAGATGCTAACCAAAGTCGGAGGTTCAAGTCCACACAGAGGTGCCTTGGAAAAAAGGCCTGGCGATCTACTTCCAAAAAAATCAATCATTGAAAACCCTATGGAGCGCAGTTCTATTCTGATACACATGGGTCATCGTTAGGTTGACTTGATGGCAACTGATGTAGATGATGTTTTTCTCCTTCTGTATTTATCCCTCTCACCTGCTCTCTCCCATCCCCTCCCCTCCCTCTTCCATCTACATCTCCATCGGCCCTGCTGCCTCCCCCAGGGAGACCTGGAGGGCAGTGTCCCCATTCCCAGCTGGGGTCCCACGACACTGGGGGAGCTGCCATACCTCTGGCTGGCGCCCCCTTTAGCGTGGGTCAGCGGGTCCCATCTCATGCCCTGCCTGCACTGTAAGTGCCTGTGGGTCCCGAAGTCCAGAGAGAAAAGGAACTTGCCCATGGCCACTGAGGGAATCAGGGACAGGTGGCAACCAACCCCAGGTCAGAGTCCCGGTGGAGAAATCCTCCCCTCGCTCCTTCGCAAGCCTCTCCAGTACCTCTTTTCTCTTGTCTCTGGAGCTCTCTGTTGGTTGTTTCTCTCTGTCTCTTTCCCTGTCTCAGTACCTTTAAGCCCTTTCCCTCCTCACATCACCATGGTTCTCTCTCTCCGTCTCTCTTTCTGTTCCCATCTGTCTTTCCCCCAACTCTCTCTCTTCCCCTCCACCCCAACTCTCTCCTCCTTTCTCTCTTTCCCTTCTCTCTCTCCCATCTCCTTTGCTCTCCCTCTCCTCTTCCCCCTTAGGGTCTGTGTCTCTTTCACTTCCCCTCTCTGTCTCTCTCTCTTCCCCTGTATCTCTCTTCTGCCACCATCCCTTCCCTTCTCCGCCTTCCTCTCCTTAACCCCACCTCTCCCCCCGTCTGCTCCCCATCCCATCCCTCCTGTCTCTCTCCACCCCTCCAGCTCTTTCTCCTCTCCTTGGCTTTCTGTCTCTCCCCCCTACTCTCCTGCCACCTCCCATCTCTTTCTCCTTCAGCACATCTTAGTATCTCTCTGTCTCCTTCCCTCCGCATCACCATCCGGGAAGTTCAACACTGAAACCAGAGCCTGAGTTACTCTCCTCTTCCATCCACTGGTCTTCCCCTGGTTGGCTGGTTCTGCCCCCTCCCCAGAATAAGGAAGGGAGGCGATGAATTCAGTGGGATCCAGAGAGAGTTGGGGAGAGATTCTTTTTTTAATTGTGCTTTAAGTGAAAGTTTACAATCCAACTTAGGCTCTCATACAAAAATTTATACATACATTGTTATGAGACCCTAACTGCTATCCCTATACTGTGACAGCACACTCCTCCTTTCCACCCCAGATTTCCCCTGTCCATTCAACCAGCTCCTGACCCGCTCTACCTTCTCATCTTGCCTCGGGACAGGAGCCACCCATTTAGTCTCATGCGTCTACTTGAGCTAAGAAGCACACTCTTTGCGAGTATCATTTTATGTCCCGTGGTCCAGTCTAATCTTTGTCGGAAGAGTTGGCCTCAGAAATGGTTTTAGTTTTGGGCTAACAGAGAGTTTGGGGGCCATGTCTTCCCAGGTCCCTCCAGTCTCAGTTAAGACCATTAAGTCTGGTCTTTTTACTAGATTTTGAGTTCTGCACCCCACTTTTCTCCTGCTCTGTCGGGAACTCTCTGTTGTATTTCCTGTCAGGGCAGTCATTGGTGGTAGCCGGGCACCATCTAGTTCTTCGGGTCTCAGGCTGATGAAGTCTCTGGTTTATGTGGCCTTTTCTGTCTCTTGGGCTAATACTTTCCTTGTGTCTTTGGTGTTCTTTATTCTCCTTTGCTCCAGGTGGGCTGGGACCAATTGATGCATCTTAGATGGCTGCTAGCTAGCTTTTAAGACCCCAGATGCCACTCACCAAAGTGGGATGTAGAACATTTTCTTAATAAACTTTGTTATGCCAATTGACCTAGATGTCCCCTGAAACCATGGTTGGGGAGGGATTCTTAAGTCCTCCTGCCACCCCTGCCCCCAATTCTCTAACTCAGTTAGGCTCTTGTATAGCAGAGTAATACTGACTGAGACCCCAGGGCTCTCCTTTACTGGCTCCCCACCCACCAGGAAGTCCTCTTTGAGGTCTGACCTCAAGCTTTCTAGCTGCCCTAATCCACCCTACGCTTTCCCACGCCCTGGGGTTCAAATGAAGCCCGGCGTCCGGGTCTAAGCCGGATCTCCCCTGCCAGGGTGGGGCTGAGATGGGGGGAAGCCCTCAGGGGACCTGCACCCCCACTGCAGGAGGCTAGAATTTCTTCCCTTTCATTTCCTTATTGTTCCTGGGGGAGGGTGTGACAGGAGCAGAGGTAGGCAGTGCAAAGCCAGAAGCCCAGTGTCTAGTCCCTGGCTCAGCCCTGGGCTTCAAGCAGCCCCCAACACTCTCCTGGGCTTCCGTTTTTCCATTTCTAAAATGGGGGAGCAGTGGATCAGCTGATCTGTAAGAACCTGAGGCCAGTGGTGGTGGCCCAGGGGTGATAACTTTTCAAGTTCTCTCTTGACAGGGAGCCAGCCTGTGAGTGTCAACAATACCCCCAGCAGGAAGAGGTGGTTTGGGGACCCTCTTGGTTGCTGGGTGAGTGTAGGTATTTCTGTCCCCCTTGTTCGGGCCCAGAGGGAAGGAGGGGGGTTAATCTGATGGGACGGTTGGGGAGACTCTCAGACAGTATCCTCCAAACCATTTCCAGCTCCCCATACGTGGGCTCTTCTAAAATATGCCCCCAAACTGTCCCCAAGTGTTGATCACCTCTGGATTTTCCCTCCATTTCTGAGTTAGCTAGACTGTCCATACAAATTGTCCCCCTAAACTTCGATCCATCCAGACTGTATCCCAAATTCTGACTCCTCCAGCATAGACCCCCCCCAATTTACTTCTTAAGATGTGCCCCAAAACACTGATTTGCAGATGGTTCTCTTAGACCAAGTGCCTAGACTCTGAGCTCTCCAGGGGCCCAGCTGGAATCCCCCCACTAGCCAGGAGCCTCCACTTCCCACCCTGGTCTCCACCTCTCCCATCTCACCACTGACACCTCCAGTCACCCCACTTCTACCTCTCAACACTCCCAACCCCTTCCTCAGCTGGCCCTGCCCCACCCCACGTGCACTTCACACACTTCACACCTCCACAGTCCCAGGACTGGCCCCTCCCGGGCACCCTGCCAGGCCCCACAGGCCTGGGGATCCAGGAGACCCACCCTACAGCTTCAAACCCCAGACCCAGGACTCAAGCATGCTGGGGCCCACATAACCCCCAGATCTCAGTTTCCCTGGAGAACTCAGCCATTCCAGCCTCACACCCCCACCTCAAGCCACAGTCTCCTTCCAGTTTAGGAAGCCAAGTATCCATACCCCATAACTCTCAGACTAGGACCCCCTCCCTATTCCCAGATCTCACAATATGGACTATAGAGTGAGTAAATGAAGGAACAAGAATCCTTGCAGCAAGAGGAATGATAGTTTGACTAGGAGAAGGACTTCCTGTCTGCTGGCCTGAGGGAATTAGGATAAACCCCCACCCCGAAATCCAGGGAGGCCTTGTCTAAAATCAGACTGGAGAGGACATTAGCAATTGCTGGAGATTGCTGGTGGGTGGGGATAATCTGAAACCCCCCACCCCTGAAAGAGGGGAGTCCCTGCTGAAGGGCTCTAATAGCAGTAAAACACAAAGTTCAGCTGGAAGGGGTTGAGAGTCTTGGGGAGGGATGGGGGATGGAGACTGATACACACCCACAAAAGCCTCCAGAGGTGATGCCCACATCTGCTCTCAGGCCCCCATCTATCTGAGCCCCAACTCTAACCTGCCTGTTATCTCAGACCCCCCAAACAAAGCTTCATCTCTGAGCACCCCCATCTCATACCTGAGGGCCAATCTCTATTCCTGACCCTATCTTAGATGGCCACCTTGATCCTCATCCCTGAACCCCAATTCCTATTTCTATCCCAGAACCCCCAACTTTAGCACCATATTCTAACCCTGAACTCCTACGTCCAAAACCCAAAACCCATTGCCGTCCAGTGGATTCTGACTCATAGCGACCCTATTGGACAGGGTAGAAATGTCCAATAGAGTTTCCAAGGCTGTTATCTTTGCAGGAGCAGATCACCAGGTCTTTTCTCCCACCGACTGGCTAATGGGTTCCAACCGCAGACCTTTAGGTTAGCAGCCGCAGCTGAGCGCTTAACCACTGCCCCACCAGGGCTCCTTGCTCCTATCTCAAACCTTCCTTAATGGTTTCTCCTTACCCCCAACTCTTTATCTTTCCCCCAACTTTTAAGCCCATTTCCTAATCCCCCATCTCTGTCCACTACTCTGAAGCTCGGATTCCTATCTTTGGTTTGTTCGTTTTAATCCCTGGGATTTCGGGTCCCCAAAACCCGGCCTTCACGTTTAAACTATGACCTGACCTTTGCCTACGTTTTCCTGACTCTCATTTGAGCCCTCACCCTGGATTGCCTGCCTAAGCCGGGCGTCCATGCCTTGTCCCCCTTGCCTGACTCGCTCACCTGGTCTCCGTGTCCCTAGTTCCTTGGCTCCCCAATTAGATGCCCCGAACCCATTTGAGCCCATACCCCAATCCCTGCCCCCACTTAAATCCACACCTACGTGCCTGCCCCCCACTTCCCGCTCCGTCATCCCCGAGGACACACCTCGCCCGCCTCGGGGTAGTAGCTCCACTCGGCCAGGTCATGGGCCTCCATCTTCACCGAGCCCAGCATCCCCGGGGCCTGCGCCCCCACCAGCTCCCGTTCCGGTCCTGGGGGAACCCAGCACTTCGGATCTCTCAGCGGGAACGGCCCGATTCCGAGCCGCGCCTGCCCGTCCGACCGCCCGGGGTCCCCGCCGTCCCGGGCGCCGCGGGAGGCGGCCACGCTTTATAGCCGGGACACCCCCCGCCCCTCGCCCGCCCCGGGCTGCCCTCCCGCCTCCCCGAGGGCGGCGCGCTCAGCCTGGGGCGCCCCCTGCGGGACTGCGAGGAGAGAGACCTCAGGCGCCGGGAACTGCTTCCTGGGGACGCGAAAGCAGGAGACGGCTGAAGAGTGAGGGAGCTACTGGTGTGAGACACTGCTGATATTAAAGGTACCAAAGGTAGAACTCTGGAACACTTCTACCCGGGGCGAGGACATCACCTCGACAAAAGAGAACCAATATCCAGAACCCAACATGGCAGTCGCGGAGGAAAGAGGGCCCAGCGCGCAGTGCGCTCTAGGGGTCCCGATGTACCACTTGAGGACCGTTAGGAGAGCCTCAAAACCACACTCCCAATGTACGGATGGGAAGACTGAGGCTTCCGACGGCTGGAAATGTTTCAGACTGTACAAACAGGGTCAGGGTCAAAGGTGGAGGCAATCGGGCCTCTGATCAGACCACACTAGGACAACAGACCCTCTCGAAGCTTCGCCTCCCGGATTCTCTAAACTCTCCAACCCCGGCCGTCCAGGGACTCAGAACCACTGGGAACTCCATTTCCCAGAAGCCTCTAGCCCCCTTTACGCCCCGTGCTTCTGCCAAGGGACTACATTTCCCAGAAGGCGTGTGAGGAGGGGTCCCAGGGCACTCGGGGGAGGGAGGAGGGCCGCTCGCGCAGCACGATGTAGGGGCGGGGTCGGGGCAGTCTGGACTTCATTTCCCGGCAGGCCGGCGGGCGGGGCGCGTGCGCAGTGTCCCGGCGGCGAGCGGAAGATGGCGACGGCGGCGTCTGCGAGGAGGCGCTGCTAAGGGGGCGCGAGGGGGACGGAGGCCGGAGCCCGGGTGAGCTGGGGACAACGTAGGGGCCCGGGAACGAAGGGAGGAGGGGCCCTGAGTAGGCAGGGGCGCTTGGGGGCCGCGACAAGAGAGGGGAGCAGTGGCATTCGGGACCCCAGTTTTTTCCCCTGCTCAGGGCCCTTCCGTGGCTCCCCAGTGCGCTCAGAGCAAAGTTCCAACGTGGCCCCCAAGGCGCGCCCGCCTCGCGGTCCTTACTGGCCTTCTCTCTGCTTTTTTGCTCACACCCCCACCTCGCACAGCTGCACTGGCCTTCGGTTCCTCAAACTCGCCGTGTACCTCCCCGCCTCATGGCTTTTGCACATGCTGATTCCTTTGCCTGCTGTACCCTTTTACTCATTCTGCCTGACTAACTCCCATTCATCCTTCGGGGTTCGGTACAAACGTCACTTCCCCTGCGAAGCCCTCCTTTCCCGCCCTCCACCCCGAAATCCGCCTCTTAAACGCTCTCATAGGTCCCTGTTTCTTTCCTTCATGTCGCGTGTGGTCTCATTTGTTATTATCCCTTTTTGTGTATGATTCTGTCTGTGACTGTAGTTCCATGAGGGTAGGGAATGGGTGTGTCTTGATTACCACTGTGTTCCCAGTATAGCGCCGATCACACAGGAGGCGCTCAGTTAATGTTGATTGAATGAAAGATCTTCCCAGGACCCTTCTGTGGGGTGGCCGCGGGTAGGTTTCGGACTCTGAGTGGGAGTAGGCAGTGGTACTCCGTAAAGAGCACACTGGGGAAGGGGGGAGAGGATGTTCATTATATTCCAGTGGGGAACTTCAGTATTCTGAGTTGGCTCATGGCCATGCCCCTTGGGGTATGTGAGCAGATCTAGCGGCAGAGAAACAATTCCTTTTACAGAGGCAGGATGGTACAGTGGTGATGAGGAGGGATTCTACAGCCAGACTGCTGGCTCTACATCTTATACTTTGTGTGCCTTTGGTCAAGTGACTTTACTTCCCTGACCTTCAATGTCCATCTCTGTAAAATGGAGATTAAAAATAGTACCTACCTCAAAGGGAGTCCCAGGGTGGTGAAATAGGTTAACGAGCTTGGCTGCTTACCCATAGGTTGGAGATTGGAGTCCACCCAGAGGTGCCTTGGAGATCTACTTCCAAAAAATTGGCCACTAAAAACCCTATGGAGCACAGTTCTATTCTGACACACATGGCTTTGCCATGAGTTGGAATCAACTGGATGGTAACTGGTTTACCTACCTCAAAGAGTTATTATTGTGAAGTTTAAATGACTTAATATATGTAAAGTGGTTAGAATTATGCCTATCACATATTAAATGGTCAGTAAATATTAGCTATTATGACCTTTAAAACATTTTGGGGCCACAGGGCAGGGATAGTGAGCCCAGTGATGGAGAAGATCCTTTGGCAAGAGTGTTTATTTACTCAGCAGATATTTATTTAGTGCTTACTATGTGCTAGGTGCTGTACTACATGCTAGGGATGTAGAAGGTGAACAGAAATAAAATCTTTGCCATCATGGAGCTTATAAATGTGTAGTGGGTTAATGATAATAAGTGCCTTGGAGAAAAATAAAGAAACGCAGGTGAGGAGGGCAAGGGGGTTGAAATTTGAAATTGGGTGGTCAGGGCAGGTGGACAGCAGAAGTGAGGGAGGGAGTTGTGCTGATGTCTGGGGTAGGGGGGTGTTCTAGGCAGAAGGAAGAGAAGCATAAGGAGGAAGGGGCATGCTTGCCCTGTTCAAGGAACATCAAGGAGGCCAGCATGGCTGGAGCAGGGAGCGCCAAGAAGAAAGAAGGAGATGAGGACGGGGAGGAGGGGTCATGTAATGTCTTCTAGGCCTTGGGGAAGACTTTGGCTTCACTCTGAACGAGATGTGAGAGTGACAGACAGCAGTGAAAATACGCAGGAGGCTGTTTACCCAGTTTATTTATCTAGTGCTGCTATAACGGAAATACCACAAGTGGATGGCTTTAACAAAAAGGAACTTATTTTCTCACAGTCTAGTAGGCTAGAAGTCCAAATTCAGGGCACCAGCTCCAGGCTTTTTCTGTGGGTTCTAGGGAGAGGTCCTTGTCATCAGTCTTCCCCTGGTCTAGGAGCTTCTCAGCCCAGGGACCCACTCCCCTCCTGGCTCTGCATTCTTGATGGCATGAGGTCCGTTGCCTCTCTGCTTGCTTCTCTCTTTTATATCTCAAAAGAGATTGACTCAAAATACAGCCTAATCCTGTAGATTGAGTCTTGCCTCATTAACATGTTGTCGTTGTTAGGTGCTGTCAAGTCAGTTCCGACTCATAGAGACCCTGTGCACCACAGAACGAAACACTGCCCAGTCCTACGCCACGCTCACGATCGTTGTCATGCTTGAGCCCATTGTTGCAGCCACTGTGTCAGTCCATCTCATTGAGGGTTTTCCTCTTTTTCGCTGACCCTCTACTTTACCAAGCATGATGTCCTTCTCCAGGGACTGATCCCTCCTGACAACATATCCAAAGTACATGAGACGAAGTCTCCCCATCCTTCCTTCTAAGGAGCATTCTGGTTGTACTTCTTCCAAGACAGCCTCATTAACATAACTGCCTGTAATTCTGTCTCATTAATATCATAGAGGTGGGATTTATAACACATAGAAAAATCATATCAGATGACAAAATGGTGGACAATCACACAATACTGGGAATCATGGCCTAGCCAAGTGGACACACGTTTCTGGGGGATACAGTTCAATCCATAACAGTAGTCATTCGTTCCGCAGACATCTATCGAATAGCTACTCTGTACCGTATATAACCTTCCTTTTTAAAAATGTATCTTTTTCAACCTCCCCAAATTCTGTTCCCCTGAGGTAATTATTGTTAGTGGTTTGTGGACTATTCAGATCTTTTCCCATGTACATAACAACAACAGCCATAGCCGTTTAACATCTACTACATATACTAAGAATAGCCCTGGCAGTCAGGTACTGTTACAGTCCCCGTTGTACAGAGGAAGAAACTGAGACCCAGAGAAATTAAGTTTCTTCCCTCAGGTCTTTCTATGGATACACACACACAAGCTTGGCATAAATGGATTAAATTGCACATATTATTTTGTGATACAGCAGACTGTTGTGGACATCCGGTTGTGATAATACATTGAGATCTACCACATTTTTTTTAACGCTGTTTCTTCCCACTTCTGCTTTTTGGTTTATCCCTTTTGTTGTATGTTTTTACATATATATATATATATATGTATATATATGTATGTGTTTCTTTTGCTTTTGTAAAAAGGGAGCATATGGTAATACCATCTTCCGGTTTGCTTCTTTTCACTTAATATAGGCTCTCTCCATCAGTGTATAGAGATTTTCCTCATTTCTTTCTTTTTCCTCCCTTATTCCTTTTTACAGCAGCATAGTATTTTATCATGTGGATGTATCACAGTTTTTTTAACAAGTTCCACTGTTTAAGAACATATGAGTTGTTTCTAATCTTTTGCTATTACGAATAGAGCTGTAATTGATATCCTACATTAATCATTGTATAATTTTGCCAGTGTAACTTTGGGATGTTGTTGCTAGCCGCCAGCCTCCAACTCATGCTGACCCTGTGCACAGTGGAACAAAATGCTGCCTGGTCTGGCCATGCCCATGATCATTTGGGGGGTTGGACCGTTGTGATCCGCAGGGTCTTCATTGACTGATTTTCAGAAATAGATTGCCAGGCCTTTCCTCCTAGTTCATCTTAGTTTGGAAGCTCCGCCGAAACCTGTTCAGCATCATAACACACAAGCTTGCACTGACGGCGGGTGGTAGCTGCGCATGAGGTGCATTGGCTGGGTATCAAACCCAGGTCTCCCTCATGGAAGGCTAGAATCCTATCACTGAGCCACCACTGCCCAAAAGTCGCCCCTCCCCTTTTTGTTAAACAGCTCCATAGTATTTTAGAGAATGGCCGTAGTATAACCTGTTTAACCAGGACTTTGCCGATGTATCGATTACCAACCGTTGGCAGGGCTGCATGACTGGCTTTCCCCAGAGCTGTGTTTGAGAAAGTCAGAGCGCAGCCCTGATGGAAAGACAGGAGGCAAGGAGACTAGCAAGGTGGCCGCTGTGGTTCCTTTGTCCAGCCATTCAGCAGATGTTCTGGTCTGCCTGCTGTATGTAAAGTACTGGAGCTGGGACTTGAGGACCTGCCTGGGAGTCCATCAGGGAAGGCAGGTGACATCAGTCTCCTCCAGATTACAACTGCCATGCACACATACATACAGTCTGGAGTGGGGAGGGGCTTAGAAGGCCAGACAGGGAAAAGACAGGATGAGGAAGTGGGCTGAGCCCTGTGTTGGTGATGAGGTGCAGGTCAGCCCAGCCCACCCACAGAAGCCCAGAGCTTGACCCATCCCCTTTTTCCCCAGGGAATACCTGACAGCAGCTATGGCGAGCAGCAGTGGGGACAGTGTCACCCGCCGGAGCGTGGCCTCTCAGTTTTTCACACAAGAGGAGGGAGCAGGCATTGATGGCATGACCACCTCAGAAAGGGTGAGTTGTGGAGAGAAGGGCTCGGAGTCGGGAGGCACAGCCCTGGCTTTCGTCTGGCCACCCCAGGTCACAGAGCCTTGGGAGTGCTTAGGGGCTAGGCTGGCAAGGCCAGCACCACCCCCTGCCTCTCCTTCCCCTCCAGGTGGTGGATCTCCTGAACCAGGCGGCGCTGATCACCAATGACTCAAAGATTACAGTGCTTAAGCAGGTGAGGGGGTGGGGAGAGGAGGCGGGCTGAGCAGGACAAGGGGATGGGAGTGGGAACCTACAGAAGAGAAGACACTGGTAATAACGCTAGGGTTCACATATTACACACTTAGTGTATGCCAGCATGGTGCTCAGTGCTGTACGGGCATGATCTCATTTCACTCTCACCAGAGCTCCACAAAGCGGGGAAAGGCCATCCCTGTTGTATAAAGAAGGAAGCAGAGCCTCAGAGCTTGCACAGTTAGCCCTAGGTCGCTCCTCTAGGAGCTAGCTGAACTAGGACTTGAATCCCGGGATCTGACTCTGACTCCTGGCCTCTTCATTGCATTTCCTCTCTACCAGGGTCAAATCCAGCAAGGAAAACATACATGTCACCAGACAGTGAGGACCCAAAGTGTGCAGGGGTGGGACAGAAGAGCCCAGGGAGTTGAGGGAGCCCAGGGGGCCACCTGACCCAGCCTGGGAAGTCAGGGAGGGCTTCTTGGAGGAGCTGAGATGTGAAGGATAAGGAGAGAGACAGGTCAAGTGAGAGAGGGAGAGCATCTCAGGCAGAGGGCATAGACAGCGTGTGCAAAGGCAAAAGAGGATGTGGGGAATTTTGTGGGCTGGGAATGGTTCAGAATAGGAGGCAGAGTTCTGTGACTTGAGGTCAGGCTGTCTGTGTAGAGCCCCAGTTCTGCATGTTCTGAGTGGGATGCTGACAGTACTTCCCTCATGGGGTGGTTGTGAGGGCCACTCACAACAACTCCTTAAACGTGTACTAGGAGCCAGGTCCTTGCTGGCTGTGGACTGGTATGTGGATGTTGATGGGAAGGGCTTATTCCAAAGAGCCTGGCAGGTACGAGGGTCTCAGGAAATGGGTTCTCACTGCTGAATCAGGAGAGTAGTAAGTGGCAAGCAGTAGGAGAGTAGACATAATTGATGCACCGGTTGAAAAATGCCAAACCTCACAGAGATAGGAGCCCTGGGGCATTTCCCGCCTTTTCTTCTGCCCCACTGTGTAACACATACCCACTACGTACCAAGACCTACACCTTGTAGAATCTCATGGAGGCCTCACAACAGCCCAGTGAGTTGATGTTTAAGATCCCCATTGTATAGAAGAGCAAACTGAGGCTCGGAGAAGGGAGGCCACTTGCCTAGGACCGTGGTGGGGAATGGTGGAGCCAGGATTTGAACTGAGTTTATGTGCTGCCTGCCGCCATGCTGTTTCCCCTACACTCTTCTGTCTGCATTGATTGGAGCCGGTTTTACGTATGTGTTTCTGCTCCCTGCCCCCATCTCCTTGGAGGTCCAAGAGCTGATCATCAACAAAGACCCCACACTGCTGGACAACTTCCTGGATGTGAGTGACCAACGGGAGAGAAAGGAGCCGAGCCGGGGGCGGGGGTGGTGTGGTGTCCTGGCACAGCCCTGACCGGCCTTCTTCCTGGCCTTGGTAGGAGATCATCGCCTTCCAAGCAGACAAGTCGATTGAAGTGCGCAAGTTTGTGATTGGCTTCATCGAGGAGGCCTGGTATGGGGAGGCGTGGGGAACCCCGGGTGCCCCCCTGGTGGAGCCAGCCTCTTCAGCTCCTGGCCGGGCCCTGCCCTGACAGCCCTGCCCTCCACTTCCTAGACCCATTCCCCTGCCCTTGCACACCAGCTCCCCAGCAAATATTTAAAAAGGTCGGCATCTTTGTTTATCCATGATTCCTCTGCTTCTCGAAGTCTTCACTTCTACGGCATCAGTAAGGCCTGTCAGCTCTGCTTCAAAATATGTACAGAACCTGACCAGTTCTCAGTGATTTCCCTGCTCCTGCGCTGGTCCAAGCCCCCCTTACTTCTGCCTGCGTCCAGTGGCCTTCCCACTGCTTTTCCATTTCTGCTCTTGCATGTGGCAGCCAGAGTGTCCCTGCTACCGTGTGAATCTCCTGCTCTCAGGCCTCCGCTGGCCCATGATCTCACTGAGGTTGAAACCCAAACTCCTTGCTCTCACCTCTTCCTCTCCTGACCCTCCGCCTCCCTGTCTGCACTCCAGTCACTGGCCTCCTTCTGTTCCTCAGAAAGCACTGTCCTGCTGTACAGCGTCTACACTTGATGTTCCTGTTAGGGGGCCCTCATGCCCAGAGAGTCACATGACCCCCCCAGGGAGCCACGTGGGGATCCCGCACTCCCCTTGGGTCTCTTCCTCAGAGGGCCCTCCTGACGGCTTTAGTGCAGCACACACACCTCAGGCCCTCTGCTCCCACTGTGCTCTGTAGTGGGCCTCATGAATTGAAATTGCCTCGATTATTCTCTTCCCCAGCACCATGAGGACCAGCCTTTTCTGTACTGCTGACCACTGCATCCCCAGTGCCTAGAACGGTGCTGGCATGTAGTAAGGGCTGCATAAGTATCTGCTGAACACGTGAATGAACTTAACAATACTAGTAACCACCATGTGGGGTGCTTATGCTGCCACGCACCATACAAGGCCCTTTCTTGTATCATTGCCTACAATTTTTACACCAGCCTTAGGCGATGGGTGCTGGTGTTATCCCCCTTTTACAGAGAGGAAGACGGAGGCTCAGAATGGTAAAGTGACCCACCCACATGGGGTCATTCACTCACTCATTCATTCATTCAACATTTACTGGGTTGCTTTGTTAGTTTCTATTTGCCAGGCACTCTCCTAAATGTTGGGTTCCTGGGTGGCACAAATGGTTTGTGCTCAGCTACTAACCAAAAGGTTAGCAGTTCTAACACACCCAGCAGTACCATGGAAGAAAGGCCTGGAGATCTCCTTCCATAAAGATTATAGCCAAGAAAACCCTATGGAGCCCAGTTCTACTCTGTAACATGGGGTTGCCATGAGTCGGAATTGACTCAGCGGTGACTGGTTTGGTACTAAATGCTTTACGTACTTGGTTATTTAATTCTCAAAGTAACACTATGAATTAGTTGTTTGACCTATTTTACTGAAGAGAACACTGAGCCCTGGAGAGGTGAGATGAGTTTCGTAAGGTCAAATAGCCAGTATGTGGCAGAGCTGGGATTATAACCCATGTGTGACTCCACAGCCAAATTCTCAATCTCCCTTCCCTGGGAGAATTCTTGGTTAATCTGCCTGAGTTTGCAGAGTCCACTTGTTCAGCAAATATGTATCAGATGCCTGCTGTGTGCCAGGCACCTGTGTCAGGCTGCAGGACATAGCGGTGAGCAAAACATGGGTATCATTCCTGCCTACAGGGGCTTATAGTTGAGTTGCTTATTTTTTGACTGATGCGATTAATACCTAGTTTCCAATTGTCATACATGCTGTGAAAATTATGCTCATGTACTGAGCTCTAAGTATGGCCTTCCTGAGTTAGTTTATTCATTGAACAGACACTAAATTGAAGGCTTTTCATTTATTCTTTCCTTCAACAAATTCTGAGGCCCTCCTGGTCGTAGGCCCTGAGTCTACTGAAGAGGAGAGGATCCACCTTCAGAGCCGTCAGCCTTAGCTAATCAAATCAGTAAACAAAACTAGAGATTACATAAAGCAAAGTGTTTTAAAGGTTATAAAGGTGGCTAATATTTACTGATGTTTTCTGTGTGCCAGGCACTGTTCTAAGCATTTTACAAGTATTCTCGCAACAATCTATGAGGTAGGTAGTAGTATTCTAAATGAGACAAAGTCACTTGCCCAAATTCACACAGCTAGTAAGTGGCAGAGCCAGAATTTAAACCCAGGCTGCTTGGCTGTACTGCCCCTTATGTGAACAACAGAGTAAAGGGGGTGAGGAGGCTGGGTGCTGCAGGACCAACCCAGGTAGAGGGTCCAGGGACAGCCTCCATCAGGAGATGCGAAGCATTGTTCTCAGCTTCCAGATGTGCCAGCAATGCAGCTCCTGCCCTCACAGCTGACCTGACACCACCATTCCTTCTTCCCACCTCTATTCTAATCCCCTGGGACACTGAAATCAGGATTTCCCTTCCCTCCTGGACCCCAGGCTCCTACCACCTACCATAAGACCACTTTGACCTTCCCTCTTTTCCTCCATCCCCAGCAAGAGAGACATTGAGTTACTGCTGAAACTGATCGCAAACCTCAACATGCTCCTGAGGGATGAGAACGTGAATGTTGTGAAGAAGGCCATCCTCACCATGACTCAGCTCTACAAGGTGGCCCTGCAGGTGAGCACTCCCTTCCCACCTGAGGACATGCCGTCATCCTGACAGGTCTCATTTCCACACAGATCAAATCTGTTACGAATCAAAACCAGAGTCACATCAAATTCTTTATGGGCAAGATGTGCTGTTGGTCTATGAGAGCATAAAACAAGGGCACCTGATGTAGTCTGCTTGTCAGGGAGTTGCCAGGAATCCTTCCATCCATCCGTCCGTCCGTCCATCCTTCCTTCCTTCTGTCCATCCATCCATCCTTCTTTCCATCCATGCATCCATCCTTCCATCCATCCATCTTCTTTCCATCCCTCCATCCTTCCTTCCATCCGTCCATCTACCCTTCCATCCATCTTTCCATCCATCCATCTATCCATCCACCCGTCAATCCATCCATCCATCCTTCCTCCATCCTTCCATCCATCTGTCCATCCTTCCTTCCTTCCTTCTGTCCATCTGTCCATTCTTCTTTCCATCCATCCATCCGTCCTTCCATCTATCCATCTTTCCATCCTTCCTTCCATCCATCCTTCTTTCCATCCATCCATCTTTCCTTCCTTCCTTCTTTCCATCCCTCCCTGCATCCATCCATTCTTCCATCCATCCATCCCTCCACCCATCCTTTCTTCCATCTGTCCATCCTTCCTTCCATCTTTCCATCCATCCATCCATCCACCCTTCTTTCCAGCCACCCTTCTTTCCATCCGTCCATCCTTCCTTCCATCTTCCCATCCACCTGTCCATCCACCCTTCTTTCTATCCATCCATCCATCCATCTGTCCATCCTTCCTTCCATCTGTCCATCTATCCATCCAACATTCCTTGAACACCTCCTCTGTACCTAGTACTGTGCTTGGTCATGCTGGGGACACAGCAGTGACCAAGACAGTCCAGTTCCTGCCTTCATGGGACTCAGAACCCAGTGGGGAAGACAGAAACTAATCCAAAGATCACATTAATTATGGACTGTGAAGGACAAGAACACACTATGATGCGGTGTTCATTGACATTAATGAGATGAATGAATCTATTTCATCTCCACATCTCATGAGGTCAGCATTATTATTCCTTTAACTTCCTTAATATTTCAGTCTTTATCACCCTGGGTTGTCACTGTCTAGTGATGGATCTATCTTCTCCACTGGACTGTGAGCCCCATGAGCGCAGGGCCAGCCCTGTCTTGGTCACCAGTGGGTCCTGTCCCCAGCATCACCTAGCACAGTACCAGGGACAGAGTTAGAATTCAGTAAATGTTTCCTAAATGAATGTATCCATCATCACTTAGGGATCTCTGGGGAGGGGGAAGAGTGTTGGCTATTGATGTCTTTTCTCATCCGCATCTCTGAATCTGTGTCCATCCCTCTCTGGGCTGCTGGCAGTGGATGGTGAAGTCACGGGTCATCAGCGAGCTCCAGGAGGCCTGCTGGGACATGGTGTCGGCCATGGCCGGGGACATCATCCTGCTGCTGGACTCTGACAATGACGGCATCCGCACTCACGCCATCAAGTTTGTGGAGGGCCTCATCGTCACCCTGTCGCCCCGCATGGCGGACTCGGAGGTGCCCCGGCGCCAGGAGCATGACATTAGCCTGGACCGCATCCCTCGTGACCACCCCTACATCCAGTACAGTGAGTGCCGCCTGCCAGCAGGTGCCTTGTACCTGTCACTGCACCAGCCCCTGGAACTTCTGCCTGTCACTCCCCTCCTTCCCCCCTTTCCTTCCTGCCTTTTAATTTTTGGAAACAATACAGAGTGATAGTGAAGAACCCTGATGGTAGGCTCAAGTCCCAGCTTCCCCACTGATTTACTGTGTGAACTTGGGCCAGTTACTTCTCTTGGGACTTTATTTTCTTTTTTGTAAAATGGAGATGATAATAGTACCCTTTTTCACAGGTTTGTAGTGAGACTCCATGAAGGTGTGGGCACTCAATTTTACTGGTTTTTGCACTGCAAATTATAAAAGTAATACATAAAGCAAAACAAACCAAACCCATTGCCACTGAGTCAATTCCGACTCATAGCGACCCTATAGGACAGAGTAGAACCATCCTGTAGAGTTTCCAAGGCTGTAAATCTTTACAAAAGCAGACTGCTACATCTCTCCAGCAGAGCAACTGGTAAGATCAAATTCCCCACCTTCTGGTTAGCAGCTGAATGCTTAACCACTGCGCCACCAGGGACCCTTAGAAATAGTACATGCTCACTATAGAAGTGTCAAGCAATATAAAGAGAAATAACTTAAAAATGGAAAATTCGTCCCCCAGTCCTACTTTCCAGGGGTAAACACTGTTAAGAATATCGTTTCTCTCCACACCTTTTTAATACACATGCAGATATTTGTAGGTATCTGTTCGTAATTCTGCATTTGTTTGCTTTTTTGTTTACAAAAATGGGACCAAGCTTTATGTTTTTATCCAAGAGGCATTAGAGTATAGCCACTTGGGTTCAAATCCCAATTCTACCATTAGGCAAGTGGCCTGTTGTCTCTGAGCCTGTTTCCTCGTTGATAAATTGGGGATCATTATTACTGAAATCACGGAGCCCTGGTGGCACAGTGGTTCAGCACTCGGCTGCTAACCGGAAGGTCAGTGGTTTGAACCCACCAGCCACTCCATGGGAGAAAGATGTGGCAGTCTGCTTCTGTACAGATTCCAGCCTTGGAAACCCTATGGGGCAGTTCTCAGTCCTGTAGGGTCACTATGAGTCGGAATCGACGGCAACAGGTTTGGTTTTATTATTGACATCTACTTTAGGGTTTTGGTTTGAGCAATTTGGTGAATTTATATGGCTGGCATAGTGACCATTTCATAAGTATTAGCTGTTCTTGTGTATTGTTTGACGAACTATTTAACTCAACAGTAACCTTTTTCCTAATCAAAGTCATATTAAATTGCTACACAATATTCCATAATATGGTTACAACACATTCTATTAAGCAATTCTCTATTGATGGGCATTTAGGTGGGTTGTTTTTATTCGCTATTTCACAATGTGTGGCATTCTGTATGTTTTTGCATAGAAAATGTCTGGAATAATAACCACCAGAGTGTTGAGGGTTAACTTTAGGGGACTAGATTGAGGAGAGTGGTGGTACAAAGAGCTATTAGTTTTTTGTGTATAGGCATATATACACATACTAAAATTTTTATATCAACATAGTTTATACAGTCAGTGTCCTATAGTTAGATACTTGAAATTATTTCTAGTTTTTAACTATTGCAAACCCATGCTTTGAACAACTGCATAACTAAATTTTTATACTGATAGTCTCATGGGACTCTTCAACTACTAAATGTTCTTGTTTTTTCAGCTATTCACAGACATCTGTGTACCAGGGTTCCTCCTTCCTTTTGACCCTAAAGGCTGATCTCTCCATCTGGAGACCTGGGAGAAAGCACCTTCCTGACTGGCTCTCTTCTCTCCTTCATCAGACGTGCTGTGGGAAGAGGGCAAGGCAGCCCTGGAGCAGCTGCTCAAGTTCATGGTGCACCCCGCCATCTCCTCCATCAACCTGACCACAGCACTGGGCTCCCTTGCCAATATCGCCCGCCAGAGGCCCATGTTCATGTCGGAGGTGATCCAGGCCTACGAAACCCTGCACGGTCAGTTGGTCCCCTCCCCTCCCCCTCTCCGCTGACCAGTTTGATCTTTCCTGAGGAAATGTCAGCTAGGTGGTGAACCCTCAAATGCCCAACTGAGGAGTTTGTCATCAATGTAGCAGGTCAGGGAAACACAGAAGGCTTCTCTATATTAGATGGGATTCTTTTGGTTGCACGTGACAGAGCCTGGTTCAGTATTGGCTTTAATATAGAGGTATGTATGGGTGAAATAACATGACATATGCTAAAAGCTTTAAAATATTCCAGGCTCCTCCCACCCCCAAGGAAAAGAAGCTAAGAGAGGGAGGATAGCTGTACCAAGATTAACAAAATGTTGATAGATACATGGAGACTCATTATTTTCTCTACTTTTGTGTATGAAAACTGCAAACTCGGGGGGGGATCAGCTCAAGGCAAGAGTGCGCATAGGTCATGGATCTCTCCATCACTTGGCTCTTGTTTTCTCCACATTGCCGGCGTTCTCTGGCTCTCTCCTTGGTGTGGCAAAGATGGCCCCCCCAGTAGCTCCAGAGTTCCATTCCATCAGCTTAGCAACCCAGGGGAAAGAGAGTGTCCCCTTCCCAGGCATTCCAGCAAAAGTCTCCAGGCTGATGCTCATTGTTTCTGATTGGCCAAGCAGACATTATGAGCGCGTCTGCGAACCAATCACAGTGGCCACGGGAAGGAAGTGTTTTGATTGGGCCCTGGGTCTCATGGGTACTCGGACTGAGAATGGAGAGGAGGTGGTTCCCTCAAAGGAGAATGAGAGTGTTGTTGGCCGAGGAAGGGGGACCGGATACTGGGCAGGCGACATTACAGGCATCCTCTTTGGCTGTGGAACAGGGGAGGCTTGCTCATAAAGGTGACTGCTAGGTGCTAGAAAGTCATTCTGGTGACAGGGAGACCAACGATGAAGCTGTTGTAGCAGTTTAGTTGGGAAATTCTGGAGGTGGAAATGGTAGTTATCGTCCTCCCCCCAAAACCAGTTAACTATTGCTGTCGTGTTGATTCTGATTCAGTGGTGACCCTGTGTGTCAGAAGAGAACTGTTCCAAACGGTTTTTTCAATGGCTGATTTTTTTGGAAGTAGATCACCAGGTCTTTCTTTCGAGGTGCCACTGGGTGGACTCAAACCACCATCCTTTTGGTTAACAGCGAGCTCAGTAACCATTTGCATCATCCAGGGACTCCATAGCTCTCCCCAGGGGAGGCATATTGGAATTGCCAGACCAGAGGTGGAGGGAGATGAGACTTTGGCAGGAGGGGTGAGTTTTTCTTTTTGTTTTAAGGTTGAATGATACTAATGGGGACCTCTCAAGGGTGCTAAGCAGGAGGAAGCCACATGCTAGATCTGAGGGCTGAGGAGCTTTTCTAGGAGCCCACCTGGAAGAGTTCTGCCCAAGTCTGGGGTTGGAAAGTGAGACAGGCAGGACCCTGGACGGTCTGTCTCCAGCACAGAGTTCCTGCTTCTTTCCTCACAGCCAACCTCCCCCCAACGCTGGCCAAATCTCAGGTGAGCAGCGTACGCAAGAACCTCAAGCTACACCTGCTGAGTGTGCTGAAGCACCCGGCCTCCTTGGAGTTCCAGGCCCAGATCACCACCCTGCTGGTGGACCTGGGCACACCTCAGGCCGAGATCGCCCGTAACATGCCCAGCAGCAAGGACGCCCGCAAGCGGCCTCGAGACGACTCAGATTCCACGCTCAAGAAGATGAAGCTAGGTGAGCAGAGGGGCCATATCTGGGACTAGTAGGAGAGGGGTGGGGGCTAGCCATGTTTACTATTTGCATTGAACAGTTTAATTCATATTAATTGATTGGTGGATACTTGATTATAAGTCATAAGGAGCCCTGGTGGTGCACTGGTTAAAGTGCTCAACTGCTAACCTGAAAGTTGGTGGTTCGAACCTGTCTGCTGCTCCACAGGAGAAAGATGTGGCAGTCTGCCGCCATAAAAATTTACAGCCTTGGAAACACTATGGGGCAGTTCTTCTCTGTCCTGTAGGGTCACTATGAGTTGAAATCGACTCGATAGCAGTGGATGTTTGGTTTATAAGTCACATTATGTAATAAAATGATATGTAATAAAATATATCAAAAAATATTATTAAAGTATATAATACATTCAACAATTAATTATCAAATTATTTAAATTATACAGAAAAGAATAAAATAGTCTCCTTTCTTTTTCCCCTCTCCCCAAAAGTAACCACCCCCACAACAGGTGTTTTGGTTTTTTTGCCATGAAGTGATTTTCTAATGGTTATATAGTTGTCTTAATGTTTAAAAACATTACTCGTGTTTGTCTATAGAACATTTATAAAAGAATCTTTTTTTTTTTTTAAACAATTTATTTTGGTGTAAGGAGTGAGGTAGGGATCATACTATTTTTCTATAATTGAACCTGTGAAGAGGAATATTTTGTACCTTGAGTTGTTTTCATTTAGTAATCATCTTGGAGCTCCTTCTGTTTGTGCGTATAGAAATCTATCGCATCCTTTCTGTTTTCTCTTTTTTTTTTAAATCGTGGTGAAAACATATGCACCAAAACATCTACCTGCAACCTTTTTAATGAGGGGGTAACACTCTATAGTGTATGTGGGCCATTTGAACCAGTTCCCTGTTTAATGGACTTCTAAGTTGTGTCCATTTTTTTAAAAAATTAAGAAGATTGTGTGATAAAATAATCTTGTGTGTCTAGTCACAGAGCAAATCCCCAGTAGTAGGATTGCTGGGGCAAAGGGCGTGTATTTTTATAATGAGTTTTTTGCCAGCCAGTTTTATTTTTCTATTTCTTTAAACTTGTTATTGTGAAATAATTTTAAACTTGCAGACAAGGTATAAGACCAGTCAGTATAGACAACTCCTGTGTACCCTTCATGAGATGTGCTAACACCTGGCATTAAGCTGTCCCGTCCCTTAGTCACCTGCGTCAGTTCCTCAGCTGTCATTGTGTTTCGTGGCATTGGCATGGTGATGCGTACAGGACAGATGTTTGTAGAGTGTCTCCATCTGTGTTGGCTCTTTCCTCCTGACTAGATTCAGGTGATATGCTTTCGGCAGGAATACTGCAGAAGTCAAGCCTGCTCCTCATCAGTTCATGGTGTCAGGAGGCACGTGGTATCACTTTGTCTCGTTATTGGAGATGTTGACTTGGATCATTTAGTTGAGGTGGTATCCCCCAGGTTTCTCTAGTGTAAAGTACCATTTTTCCCTTTGTAAATAAAGAAGCTGGGGAGATACTTTGAGGCTATGTAAATAACCTGTTCAGACTTTCACTCATTGGTTTTAGCACCCATGGATGCTTTTTGTCTGACTCTATTATTACTGCAATAATTACAAAAAGATGATTTCCTAACTGTTATTCCTTCTACAAAGAGCCGTGGTGGTGCAGTGGTTAAGCACTCAGCTGCTAACCACATGGTCGGCAGTTCAAACCCACGAACTGCTTCACAGGAGAAAGCTGTGGCAGTCTGCTTCCGTAAAGCTGAAAGCCTTGTGAACCCTATGGGGCGGTTCTGCTCTGTCCTGTAGGAAAGCTGTAAGTTGCAGTGGACTCGGCGGCAACAAGTTTTTATTCCTTCTGCATTTACTAGTCGGCATTGTGCTGTAAGAAGAGCTTTCCTTCTCCCCACTTTATTTATTACCAGTATGAACTATGGATTCTTATTTTACTCCCTGGTTATATTTGTTACTGTGGTTGCTTCTTTTCATGCTCAGAGTACCCCGTGTTTATCCAGCAGGGGCCTTTGCACTGACTACTGTGTCTTTCACATGTCCCATCAGTTCTTTTCTAGTGTTTTTTATGTTCTGGCGGAACAGACATTCTAGACTCATCTTGTACTTTTCCTTGTCCCAACCCTGGAATCAGCCATTTCTCCAAGGAGCCCTGGCTTCTTCAAGTAGGGACTAGTTTCAGGAATCAAGATCTACTCAAGATAGTCTCATTGCTACTGGGTACACTTGCATTTTTTGATAGCCATTGCCAGCCCGCCTTCCAAAGTACCAGTTTACAGTCCCACCAGCAGAGTGTGTGTGCCCCCAGGTTACTTCCACTTTCCCTGGCACTGGACGTCTGACAGACCTGCAGGGTGTGAGTGAGTCTCCTTGGTGTGGATTCCCATTCTTGAACATACTGGATTCAATGCATCTTTTCACACTTCCTGGCTGTCTTCGTCATCTAGTGCTGCTCTAACAGAAATACCACAAGTGGATGGCTTTTAACGAGAGAAATTTACTCCCACATAGGCCAGTAGGCTACAAGTCCAAATTCAGGGCATCAGCTCCAGGAGAAGGCTTTCTGTCTCTGTCGGCTCTGGAGAGAGGTCCTTGGGTGGCATCAGTCTTCCCTTGGTCTGGGAGCATCTCAGCAGAGGAAACTCAGGTCCAAAGGACGCGCTCTGCTCCCGATACTGCTTTCTTGGTGATATGAGGTTCCCATGTGTCTCTGCTTGCTTCTCTCTTTTACATCTCAAAAGAGATTGCAATAAGACACTATCTAATCTTGTCAACCTTATCAGTATATCCTCATCACAGTGATAGAATTTACAACACATAAGAAAATCACATCAGATAACACAATCATACAGTACTGGGAATCATGATCTAGCCAAGTTGCTACACACATTTTTTGGGGGACAGAATTCAATCCATGACACTGGCCATTTGCATTTCTGTGAAGTGTTCATAACCAAAAAACAAACCCGTTGTGGTGGAGTTGATTCTGCCTCAGTGACCCTATAGGGTTTCCAAGGCTTTAAATCTTTACGGAAGCAGACTGCCACATCTTTCTCCCACAGAGTGGCTGATGGGTTTGAAACTCCGACCTTTCAGTTAGCAGCTGAATGCTTTAATCACTGCACCATCAGGGTCCCTTGTTCATTCGTAGTCTTTGCTTATTTTTCTATTGGGTTCAAACTTTTTTGAGTTGTTTATGTCCTCAGCAAATGCAAACTTTGTTATATGTGTTGCCAACTTTTACAAATGGCTGCATAATATTTCATCATATTTTACGGAAATCATTATCTATTGAACATTCCAGCTTTTCATTTTGATAAATATTACTTCAAGGAACACCTTTGCACACAAAGCTTTTTCTCTAAAGTTCAAATTATTAGTTTTTTTGCCCCACTTTGTGCTAGAACCACAGTACTGTATTCAGCCTGTCTGCTATGAACGGAGCTTCTGTGCCATTTCTCTGCGCAGTTGGTGCTACCGTGGTTACACGTTACCTTACGTACATATATGAGTGTGTTTTTAGGATACATACCTAGATGTGGAATTGCCGTGTCAAAGGGATATGCACGTTTTAAATTTGGGTAGAATATCAGATTGCCCTTCCAAAAGGTTCCTTTCCACATATCCACAAGGAACTAATGTGAGTAGCCATTACTGCACATACCTACTAACAGCTGCTATTAGCCACCTTTTTATTTTTTGGGAATCACACAGGCAAAAGATACTTTGTTATTTTGCATTTCCCTGATTCCTAGTAGAGGTGAGCACTGTTTCAAAGTTGGAAGTTTTTAAACAATAAAGCTCTGAGAAATTAATAGTCAACCTTTTCGTTAATAATATTGTCTTCTTGGAACTTAGTGTGATCACCAGGGCAGGTGTGGCTTATTCCCATTTTCCAGATGAGGAGAATTGAGGCCCAGACAGAGGCAGGTAGTTGGCCAAGGTCGTATGGCAGTTGGAAGGCAGAACCAAGGCTGCAGCCAGGTCTTTGTCCACTGCGCTGCTCCTGTTTCCTGAGGCTGGCTGCAAGCAGGGGCCACCTCAGCTCCCCAGGAGGAGAGAAAGCCTGCTGCTCTCTCTGGAGCCAGCATCTTCTTCCTCTCCCCTATCCCAGAGCCTAACCTGGGGGAAGATGACGAGGACAAGGACTTGGAGCCAGGCCCATCGGGGACATCAAAGGCCTCAGCCCAGATCTCGGGCCAGTCAGACACAGACATCACAGCCGAGTTCCTGCAGCCTCTGCTGACACCTGACAACGTGGCCAATCTGGTGAGGACCAGGGGGGCCATTTCCCACCAGGGAGAGAGGAGTCTCCTAGGCCTTTTCCCTGCCTTCACCCCACATTGTCCACCTCCTTCAGATGTCACTGGTCTCCCAAACACCTCTCTGTCATTAGTCCTGGGAGGGTGTGGTCCAGGCGGGCCCTCCTAAACTTGAATGGACCACCACCCCTCATGGTGGTCTGAGTACCCGACCACACCCACTGACTCCAACCCTCACTCCTTCCTCTTTTTGAAAGGTAGTATCTACGAACTGTAGAGTGGAGGTGTCATGAGCCCCATAAACTGTGCGGAGTGGTGTGGGATTAGATATTGGTGGGCAGGGTGGCTGGAGCATCCATCAGATTGTCAAAAAAATGGCGTTCTGATGGTTTGAGTTGGAGGGAGGGGGCCTGGGGGTATGTGTGTGACACAGTCCTCTGGCTGTAGCAGCACTCACACCTTTCCATTGAGTGGTCATGGAGAATGCCTCTTCCTGTCCTTGATGGCAGCCATCCCCGCCTTTCCTTCTCTAAGCCTGGGATGAATGGAGTGGAATGATTGTCACGAGGATGCAGGAAGGAGTTGTCCCTCCAGCTCACATCTCTTTGGTGAGCTTCGGGCCTGGATGTCCAGCTACCTCCCAGACCTACCTTCCCTTGAATGTTCCACAGGCACCTCAGATTCAACCTGTCAGAATTAAACTTGTGAACTTTCTCCCCACGCTCCTGCACAGGCCTGCGACTCCTGGGTTCTGTTAGCCAGAAGCCACCCTCTTTGCTGTCCTCCCTGATCTTTCCCCTCTGCTCCAACCCCACCCTCCCTGGCCCAGGCTCTACCCTCTCTCACCTAGAGCTTTCCCCAGCCTGTCTCGCTGCCTCCAATCCAGAGGGGTCTTGCTGAAGCACAAACTGTGACACTGCACTGCTCAGGCCCTGCCATGATTCTCTAGTTTCCTTCCAGATGAAATTTAAATTTAACTTGCCTCAGTAGGCCCTCTCTGATCTGGCTTCCGTTAACTTGTTCTACCTTTTCTCTTGGCACACTCTAGCAAATTGCCCCTTTCAAATTTATTGGCCTAAAGGTGTTTATAGTGTTCTTTTACATTTATAATACCTGCTGTCTCTGTACTAGCGTGCCCGTTTTTGTTCCTAATACTCTGTCCTTACTCTTTTTTTTGTTCAATTTTGCCTTCTTAGCTGCTGTCGACTCGGCCCCTGACTAGTGGTAACCCCATGCGTGATGGAACAAAATGGTTCCTGGTCCTGCACCATCCCCATGATGAGTTGCAGATCGGACTCCTGTGATCCATCAGTTTTCAGTGGCTGATTTTTGGAAGTAGATTGCCAGATCTTTCTTCGTAGTCCATCTTAATCAGGAAGCTCCACTGAAACCTGTTCAGCGGCTTAGCAACACACAGGCCTCGTTGATGGACTTGCCATGGGTTGGCCTGTTTTTAGCCTTTTCAAAGAACTGACTTTCAGTTGTTGATAATCTTTTACAACTTTTTCTGCTTTACTTCTCTTCTTTATTTCCTTCCTTCTACTATGTTTGAGTTTTGTTTTCTTTTTCCCCGAAGTTGTAAGTTAAAGGCTTAGTTCGTTTGCTTTCAGTCTTCTTTTCCGGTATAAGCACTTACGGATTTGATCTTCTCTAAGCGCCATTTTAGCTGCCTTCCACACATACTGGTTTATGGTATCTTCATTACCTTTCTGTTCTAATTATTTAGAGTACATATTTAAAGTTCCAAATGTATGGGAAATTTTGAATTATCTTTTACCAGTTCCTGGCATATGTGGCATTGTGGTCAAAGGATGTGGTCTGTTAGGATACTGACTTTTTTTTTTGAGTCAATTCCCAGTGCATGTTACACTCTTCACTGCACCTCTTTCTACACTCTGCTGCCTTTTAGTCTTCCCCCATGCTGTTCCTGTACCTGGAACACTTACCCCACTTCAAGACTTAACCTACACCAATCTGATCCCACTTCCTCTCAGTTCTTTTTTGTTGTTGTTGAGAATATACACAGCAGAACATTCCCCAATTCAACAATTTCTGTGTGTACAATTCAGTAACATTGTGTCTTAGTCATCTAGTGCTGCTATAACAGAAATACTATGGCACCACTGGGTGGCTTTAACAAACAGAAATTTATTCTCTCACAGTCTAGGAGGCTAGAAGTCTGAATTCAGGGTGCTAGCTCCAGGGGAAGGCTTGCTCTCTCTGTTGGCTCTGGGGGAAGGTCCTTGTCGTCAGCCTTCTCCGATCTAGGAGCTTCTCAGCACAAGGCCCCAGATCCAAAGGATGCGCTTTGCTCCTGTGCTGCTTTTCTTAGTCCCCCTCTCTCTGTGTTCACTTCTCTGTCTTCTATATCTCAAAAGAGATTGACTCAAGATATGACCTAATCTTATAGATTGAGTCCTGCCTTATTATGATAACTGCCTCTAATCCTACCTTATTAACTTCGTAGAGGTAGGATTTACAATACATAGGAGAATCACATCAGATGACAAAATAGTGGATAATCACGCAGTACTGGGAATCATGGCCTAGCCAGGTTGACACATATTTTGGGGGGACACAATTCAATCCATAACACGCTGATTACGTTCTTCAAGTTGTGCACCCATTCTCACCTTCCTTTTCTACACTGTTCCTCCGCCATTGACATAAAGTCACTACCCGCTAAGCTTCCTGTCTAACCTTTTGAGTTGCTGTTGTCACTTTGATCCCATAGAGATAGTTCTCTATAAGAGCACAATGCTCAAGGCAGATGTGCTTACTAGTTAAGCTAAACTGTTGTTTGGTTTAAAGAAGACTCCAGCCACCCCTCAGTTCTCGATCTAGGTGCCACTTTCCTGGGCAGCCGGCTCCTTCCTTAACCCCCTGTGACCTGTCTCATGTCAGCCTGCCCCTCCCCCCTCATGCAGCACACTTTATCATGGCTCATCTCCTCCTTGACTTCCTTGGTAGTCGGAGCTCTGAAAGAGCAGGCCCAGCTCTGCCATAGTCACTGCTGTGGCCCTAGCATTGGCCTGGGCACGGAGCAAATGTTTGCCAAGTTAATGATAAAGGCTCCTGTTCCCTGGGCACCCTGCAGGTCCTCATCAGCATGGTGTACCTGCCCGAGGCCATGCCCGCCTCCTTCCAGGCCATCTACACCCCGGTGGAGTCAGCAGGCACCGAAGCCCAGATCAAGCACCTGGCTCGGCTCATGGCCACACAGATGACGGCTGCGGGACTGGGGCCAGGTGAGTGTCACACGGCGCTGACCCGAGCCCGAGGGTGGCACTTGTGGCTACGGGGTCCTCCTTACTGGAAGAGCGTTCTTCCCTCTTCTTGGTGGTGCAGATGAAAATCCCGTGAGATTGTCCGTGTAAATAATTACAGGTCCCATAGATAGATTGAGTGCTCAGTATTTTCAGGCCCTGGGCTTTGAAACCCAACAGACCTGGGTTTGTGTCCTAGTTCAGGCATTTAGACCCCCTTTAGACACTGAGTCTCGTTCAGGTGAGGAGTGTGGGATATTCTATGATAATCCCCATTTTACAAATGAGAAGACCAAGGCTCAGAATGATGACAGACAGACCAAGGTCACATCAATAGTTCAGTGGGTGTGGCTGGGATTTGAACACAAGTCGGTGACTCCAGACTAGTTCTCATCATCACCCCAGGGGACCTTTAATAATAAATATGCTGTATGCTGACCGATAGTGTGTGCCATGGAGGATACTGAGCCCACATCCACAGGAGGAAGTGGAGGCTTGGGAGGTCACAATGCCTTACCCAAGGGCACACCGAGAGTGAGTGACTAAAGTAGGACTTAAACCCAGGGCTTGGATTCTGAAGCCCAGGCTCTTAACCACTATGGCAGCGGCTGGTCCTGGCACACGGGGAGTGTTCCATACGGGGTAGCTGAGGGTGTGTTTTAATTATGAATAGGAAAGGGAAAGGGCTGTTGACATAAGAGGCTGGGGAGTGTCGGATCGAGTTCAGTATAAGAAGTCCATATATAGCACAGTAGATAAGAACATGGCCTCTGGACCAGACCAGCTCAGCCATTTAATAGCTGTGTGACTTCGGTCACGTTACTTAACCTCTCTGAGCTTTGTTAACAGTGCTGCTGAGGTATGATTTATATACAGGGAGATGCACAACTCTGAAGTGTATACCTTAGTGAATTTTCACAAGGTGAACACACCAGTATAACCGCCACCCAGATGAAGACACAGAACATTTCCACCACTCCAGAAAATTCCTTCTTGCTCCTTCCCAGTCAACACGCACAACACCCCACCTCCAGAGATACCACACTGTTCTGATGTCTATGTCACAATAGTTTTGCCTACTCTTAAACTTCATATAAATGGAATTGGAGAGAGAGTCTAGCTTCCTTTGCTCAGCATAAGTTTTCAACATTCATCCGTGTTGCATGAACCAGTCGTTGATTTCTATTTATTTTCACTATTGCAAATATCATTTATTGTTGAGCCAGGTTTCCAAAGTGGCTGTACTGTTTTATATTCCAGCCAACAGTGAATGACATTTCTAGCTTGAACCTCAATTGTTGTATTGCGAAATGGGGATAAAAAGGTTACCACTGCGGAAAGGTGTTATGGAGATTTGAATGCGGTTTCGTGTGTACAGGGTTTAGCATGGAGCCTGGCACACAGGACTCCTTGGATTCTGGCCATTACTGTTACCATGACGAAGTTTGTTGCTGCCTGGGAGGCAGAACGGAGGTGTTGCGGGGGCGCTGGGAGCAGGTGGGGCTGACGTACCCGGTGTCCGTTTTCTCTGCTGCCTTCCTCAGGTGTGGAGCAGACCAAACAGTGCAAAGAGGAGCCCAAGGAAGAGAAGGTGGTGAAGCCGGAGAGCGTCCTGATCAAGCGGCGCCTGTCAGCCCAGGGCCAAGCCATCTCGGTGGTGGGTTCCCTTAGCTCCATGTCCACACTGGAGGAGGAGGCGCCCCAGGCCAAGAGAAGGCCAGAGCCCATCATCCCCGTCACGCAGCCCCGGTGAGCCACAGGCCTGGCTCTCGAGTGTGTGCTTGTGCATGTGTGCGTGCGTGTGTAAGAGACAGACAGACAGTGAGGAATGTCTGGATGAGGGTCTGTGTGACTTCAGAGTTAATGCCATCACTACTAAGCCTGGAGTTGTTTTAAGTAAAAAGGTCAGCTTTCTTATATCTACCACTGGGATCATGATAGTGTCTCTGTCATAAGCATCATGGAAGAATTAAATTAGTTCACAGTGATAGATAATACAATTAGAAGACCTGGAGTTAGAAGTAGTCGTGATTGTAAATCACTTAAAATGATTCCTAGCACGTAGTAAATGCTGCTGGTTCTCGTCGTCATTACCTCCCTCGCAGACTCCCAGATCTGTGAGCCAGTCCGTGCCCTGTCCCCGACCGAGTCTTGCTAATGGGCCATGCAAGCTCTCCTCTAGGCCCTCTGCTCCCCTCACTCCCTTGCTCTTTCCTCTCAGTCACATCGGCCTCCTGGGTGCTCCTTGAACAGCCAAGCAGGTCCCCACTCCAAGGCCTTCAAGCACTGTTCTCTCTGCTGGAAAGCTCATCCCCCAGATACTTGTGTGTCTTTTTCCCTCAGTTCATTCAAATCTCACCATCACCTCCTCATGGAACCTTCCCTGAAACACCTTTACAAACAGCATCCTCTTCCTTCCTCCTTCATCCCTACCCAATGCCCTCCTGTGCCTCAGTTACTGAGGAATTAGAGAGGGTCCAGGAAGGGCTGTCTCTGTGTGGCCTGCTCAGTCCTTGGGTTGGGGCTGCACAAAAGATGTGCCAAGTCACTGTGTCCCTAACCCTATTCTGTCATACAGGTTGGCGGGTGCAGGCGGCCGTAAGAAAATCTTCCGTCTAAGCGACGTTCTGAAGCCCTTGACCGACGCCCAGGTGGAGGCCATGAAGCTAGGCGCCGTAAAGCGGATCCTGCGGGCTGAGAAGGCCGTGGCCTGCAGCGGGGCGGCCCAGGTGTGCCCCCTGTCCCCCAGCCAGTCCTTCTGGTCCCTCTCCCCAAGTGAAGAGGCGGGCCCTGAGTCAAACCTGCTCCAGAGCCCAGCTCTGCCATTCACCAGCCACAGGACCCTCCGGCCGGCTGTTCTCCAAGGCTCACCTCCATCCTCTGTAAAACAAGGGAATAGCAGCAGCTCCTCACAGGGGAGGAGGAGGATAAAATCCTTGGGCGCACAGGAGCTCTTAGCCCGGGGCAGGGAGACGGAGAGCTGTGCAAGTGAGGGCTGCTGCTGTTTGGGGTTTTGTGGTTGTCACTGTCGTCTCCCTCACTATAATTCAGATTCAGGCATACATGGTTTAATTCCTGATTCTGCTGCTTGCTGACTTTGGAACCTCAGTCAAGTGACTTTTTCCCTTCTTGTTTTATTTTTAATGTACCAAGGAGTTATGAGTCAGAATTGACTTGACAGCAACAGGTTGGGTTGTTTATGTATACATATATATGAAATCAGCCCTGGTGGCGCAGTGGTTACGTGCTTGGCTGCTAACCAAAAGGTCAGTGGTTCTAACCCATCAGCTGTTCCACAAAAAGACCCGGCTGTCTGCTCCTGTAAAGACCACAGCCTAGGAAGCCCTGTGGGGCAGTTCTACTCTGTCATATAGGGTCGTTATGAGTTGGAATCAACTCGGCAGCACATAACATGTGAATACACTCTGTTAAACACTATTACCAGGCAGTACAGATAGAGTAAGTCTTCTTAGGCCACCCCCTGCATCCCAGCCCCCTCCCCAGAGCTGACCAGTGCACAGATTATATGATTCCTTTAAGATCTTTTTCTGTGCACTTAAGTACATGGAGAGTATTCCTGGAAACTCATCGTTTTATTCTGTGATGATTGCTTTCTTCCTCCCTTTCGTTTTTTTCACACAAACAGAACCCTGCTGGGCTTAAGGTTCGTCAGCTTGCCTTCTCCCTAACACTGGGTCAGGACTGGGGTTCTGCGGGGGGTTGGCGGTCCCTGAGCCGGGCGGGGAGGGATGCGGCGCAAGATGGTGTAGTGTCCCGAGGCTGCTCCCCCCCGTCCTGACACGCTTGCTGGCCCCCCAGGTGCGCGTAAAGATCTTGGCCAGCCTGGTGACGCAGTTCGACTCAGGCCTGAAGGCCGAGGTCCTATCCTTCATCCTGGAGGATGTGCGAGCCCGCCTTGATCTGGCCTTTGCCTGGCTCTACCAGGAGTACAACTCCTACCTGGCCGCAGGCGCCTCAGGCAGCCTGGACAAGTACGAGGACTGTCTCATGCGCCTGCTCTCTGGCCTGCAGGAGAAGCCAGACCAGAAGGATGGGTGAGTAGGCAGTCCCTGCCCTTCCCACAGGGTGCCCCGGCCTGACCTCACCTTCCTGTCCCGGAGAGTCTCTCTCCTGTGTCCTCCCCTTTTCAGTTTGTGGCATCACTACCCCAGCCAGTCCTCCATGTGCCCACCCAGGTCTCCCTTCTCCCCTCCTCCCTTTCTGGAGGCAGGTGCTTGGCAGCGTTTTGGACACAGGCCCTGGGCTTGTCCCCAGGTCTGCCCCTTGCTCCTTGTGTGACCTGCGTCACTTAACCCCTGGGCCTGCACTTTCCCATCAGTAAATAACAGTGCCAGCCTCATAGGCTTGTTTTGAAGACTGACTTCGTGTATCCCCATCTCTTGCTGGGTCGGTTCTCCGGTTTCCTCACTGCTGTCAGCCTCCAGCTGACCCAGCCATTTTCCACACGCAGCCCAGGTGATATTACATAATGTAAATTCCGCCTTGTTACTTCCCCAAGAGAAACCTTCCATGGTTCTCCATCGCTCTTGGGATAAAATACAGCCTCCCTACTAGGGTCTTTGAGGACTTGTGTGATCTAACCCCTACCCAGCCTCTTCAGCCTCTTTTTCTGCCCTCTGTCCCCCAAATTTTAGCCCTACTGGCCTTCTGTCTGTTCCTTGAACATGCCAAGTTCAGGGCCTTGGTACTTTTCTCTCTATCTGGAGTGCTCTCCCCCACCCCACTTTGCATGGTTGGCTCTTTCTCATCTACCAATATCTACTCAAATGTTAGCCTCTAAATGGCCTCTGTGGCCACCATATCTAAACTGGCCATGTCCTTCCCCATCCCACCCTCATGATCCTCTCCCATTGCTACTTCATCTAAAGTACTTAGCACAGTCTGACGTTTCACATTGATTTCTTTGTTTACTGCTTACCTCCCCCTCTAGACTATAAGCTCCATGAGGACAAAGATGCTGACTATCTTAGTCACCTCTAGATTCCCGACCACTGGAACAGAGCCTGATGTTCAGAGAATCTGTATTAAATGAATAAAGTTAGGAATCCTTTACAGAGGGGAGGAGCTGGTTTCAAGGGAGGCAAAGTCTTGACCCTCGTCACCCAGCCTGCTCTGGGGGTTGAGCTAGCCATCTCTGAGCTCCTGAGTGTCAGCGGGACTGGCTTTGGGGACCTCTTCTCTGCAGCCTTTCCCTGTCCCTCTCTCCCTGGCAGGATCTTTACCAAGGTTGTGCTGGAGGCGCCCCTGATCACCGAGAGTGCCCTGGAGGTGATACGCAAGTACTGCGAGGATGAGGTGAGGAAGGCGCCGCAGGGCTCCTCTGCCAGGGCACTCAGCAGGAGCCCTGCTCCCTGCAGCCTTTGGTGGGGGGCACAGCCCTGCCCTCAGGGGTGTGAGGGGTATACAGCCTAGATCTTGTGGTAGGGGGCTCTGTGAGGGACCGAGCCCTTTGTCTAAGTTCCAGATCTGAGTGGAGACAGAGAAGGGAGGCAACATAGACAGATCTCCAAGGCACCCTGCAAGTGGACTGCACTCTGGTGTTGTCCCATCTCCTCACACTCCCTCCAGTCCTCTGGCTGCTATGGGTTTGGGGTAGACTGAGCCGTGGCGATATAATGGTGGGGATGCTTGGCCTGGCTCATGGCCCTTCTCCTTCCTGCAGAGCCGCACCTACCTGGGCATGTCCACTCTTCGAGATCTGATCTTCAAGCGCCCATCCCGCCAGTTCCAGTACCTGCATGTCCTGCTAGACCTCAGCTCCCATGAGAAGGACAAGGTGATCCCCCAGCCTGCCACCACTGTCCAGGCTGGGCTGCAGTCAAGCCAGCCATTTGCCAAATCCTTCCTCCATCCTGAGTGTCCAGCCCAGCCTCTATCACATTCCCCTGAAAGTTTCTTCTGGCAAGAGTTTGGGTTTTTTTTTTCCCCCCAATTTGCAATGGTATGAAGCAGCTGGTATTTGGGCTGCTGTGCTTGCCCATTCCTGTGGTGTACACACACACCCCTCCCCAGGAAGGGCAGCCTGTTCTTGCTCTTGCTCCACCAGTGTGATGAGCTCTTAAGGCCTGGCCCTGGGCTGGGAACTGATGCCTAGCAGACGGCGAGGACACCAGCACATGAACTGCAGGAGCCCTGTGGAGGGGTCTGCCCGTCTGGCTGGGGTATGGGTAGGGGAGGTGGTTCAAGGAAGGCTTCCTGGAGGAGGAGATGTGTGAGCCAGGACCTCTTTAGGCAGAGAGAACAGCATATGGAACAGCACATGCTGGGATTGAGAGGGGAGCTTTGACCTGTCCCTGCTCCAGCCTTCGCCAGACTCTTAGCCTGGCATCCTGTGTCCCTGTGTGGACCCTCATGATGCACCTCCCTGCCCTGTTCCTGGCTCTGTGGTGCTGTGGGGACTCAGCAGTGATCACCACCAGCCGCCACCCTCCCGGCTCCCAGTGGCGATGGCTGTGTGACACAGAATTTAGCCAGCATTGGAGAAGAGGGGGTGGCAGGCAGGCATTCCAGGCAGGGATGTGCTAAGACTTCTGTGCCAAGTCTCAGAGCCAGGGAGCGTGTGCCACTTTTAGGAAGGGAGGAAGCTCAGTCTGATGGGAGTGTAGTGAGCAAGGCAAGGAACAAGAAGAGATGCGCTGAAGAGGTGGACAGGCAGGTTGTGAGGGCATGAGTCGGGCCAGGCTTGCCCTCCCCTGAGCTTCTGGCAGCCATGGGCACAGGCACCTCAGCCTGGCTGGGGCCTTCCTCAGGCTCTGGCTGTTTTCACACTCAAGCTCCAAGCCCAGAAGAGCAGCTACCCCCCTACCCCCGCTCCATCGCACCCTCTCCCCTCAGGTGCGTTCCCAGGCCCTGCTCTTCATCAAGCGCATGTATGAGAAGGAGCAGCTGCGAGAGTACGTGGAGAAATTCGCCCTCAACTACCTGCAGCTCCTGGTCCACCCCAACCCGCCGTCCGTGCTGTTTGGTGCCGACAAGGACACAGGTTTGGCACAGGTTCATCAGATGGTACTGAGCAACTGCCGCGTCCCAGGCTCGGACCTGGGAGCGGAGATGGGTGCTGAGCCCGGTCCAGACCACTAGGAAAGACAGCCAGATGATGAAGGCCGAGTGGGCGGGCCCGGGGTGAGGAACCAGTGGGCTGTGGGAGCCCAGAGGGGGTCCCTGACCTAGCCTGGGGAGGGCATGGAGGGCATGGAAGAGAGGACACGTGAGCCAGGATCTGTTGTGTGAATAGGTGTCCAATTCCTCAGCAAAGCCCTGAGTGCTCCAGAGTCACAGATGGGGGAACCCAGGCTCCAAGAAAATGCACTATTAAATGGGAGGGCCCAGCGCTGGGAGGGGGAAGCACAGGGTTCTGAGAGCACAGGAGACCTGTCCCACAGGGTGAGTGGGTACAAAAAAGAAGTTGGGAAGCTCTATTTTGGGCAAAGGGAACAGCACGTGCAAAGGCTCAGAAGTGCAGGAGCCTTGGGGAGCTGGGTGTGACCAGAGCAAGAGAGCAGCCAGGCAGGGGCTGCCCACCCAGGGCCATGTAGGTGGTACAGGTGAGGAGCCTGGGTGTTACCCTGAGGGTGCAGGGCAGTGAGGGAAGGATTCTGAGCAGAGGGACAGGGTCAGAGTTGACTTTCGGAAGATCTCTGGATTGGAGGTCAGAAAATACAGGAGGCGGGAACTCAGTGTGGAGGCTTCTCACGTCCCTGATGATCACCCTGGGGTGGAATCATCGTGTCCTGGAACAGCTTGTGTCCCAGTTCCAGCCCCCTCCTCTGCCTCCCTCCTCCCCATGAGAACTGGCAGACACTGGGGCTGGAGGGGTTGGGAGGAGCATGGGGGCCAGCCTGACCCCTGCCCCGCCCTCAGAGGTGGCAGCGCCTTGGACCGAGGAGACGGTGAAGCAGTGTCTGTACCTCTACCTGGCCCTCCTGCCTCAGAATCACAAGCTCATCCACGAGCTGGCAGCCGTGTACACGGAGGCCATCGCAGACATCAAGCGGACGGTGCTGAGGGTCATCGAACAGCCGGTGAGGCCCCTGAGCACACCAGGCTCTGCCCCTCCCCAACCCCAGCTCTTTTCCTGCTATCTCCACCTCAGAATGTGCTCAGCAGGAAGGGTGGCCTTCCCTTGGCTGAGTGGCCCTCATGTCCATCAGTTCATGGGAACACAATGGGGTGCCGCCCAGTGGATAAGAGCCTGGAGTTGGCCAGACCTGGGTTCACACCATGAGCCCATCAGTAAACGGGGGGGTGATAATTCAGCACCCCCAGCTTTTGCAAGGATCCAGTGAAGAGGTGCGTGTAAACACAGGTCACTGGTATTTCGGAGCTGGCCCTCCCTGCGAAGCTAATGGGAATCCTTAGCTGCCATCTGAGAAGTCCTTCCTTTCTCGTCTCTGGAGCTGCAGAGACCTTCCCCAACCCGCCCCAGTAAGAAGCAGCTCAGTCACAAACTAGCACCTGGAATTCAGAACATCTGTCCTTCCCATCCGGAGCTGGATTTGAAACCACTTTTTTATATCTTTGCCCAAGACATTTTTATTACAAAAATATTCAAACATAAACACAGGGAGAGAATGCTGTGTTCACCCCCACATACCTGCCACCCAGGTTCAGCAGTGCCCTTGCCTGTAAAGTGGGGCTAGGAGGATCACTGTGAGGACCGAGCAAATGGCTCTCCCCATTCTCAAGGTCGCCGGCCACGGCCTGCAGAGAAGTGAGCTCATGGACCAGGAGCTCCTAGAGGGCAGGGCTGCCGTTTAATGTCTATTGCAGAAAGAAGTGAGCACCTGGTGCTTGGTTCCCACCCTGTGTCTGGTGCTTAAGGCAGGGCAGGCTCCAGAAGCCCTGGTCTGAGCCTGCAGCTGAGCTGGGGTGATGGTGTCAGGAAAGGGGTCGGGCGGGGGTCACTTGATGCCTGGGGAAATGAGAAGACTTCACCAAGGAATTGAGGCACAAGGTCAGGTTAGATATGAAACAGCAGAGAAAGGGAAGAGCTAGACGAGGTCGGGATCAGATGAGATTGGGTGGAAGAGACAAGACACTCCTGGCCTTCATCTCCCCCACCTTCCCCGTATCCCCCAGGTCCTAAACCCTGCCAACAGTTCTTACCCATAGGCCTCGCATTCCCCACATGTCCTACCGCCACCCTGGCCCTCACCCTGAGTGCCCTTATCCTCCTGTTTGTGCACTCCCTGCCCCAGGCCTCCCCTCTCATCCGTCTCTACCTCTAGATCCGAGGAATGGGCATGAACTCGCCAGAGCTGCTCCTGCTGGTGGAGAACTGTCCCAAGGGGGCAGAGACACTGGTCACTCGATGTCTTCACAGCCTCACAGACAAAGGTGCCCCCAGGAAACCGCCCCCCCCCATCCTTTTCCTCCACCTCCTGGCCTTACCCACAATCACCCCTGTCTGGCCTTCCCATGACTTGGGGCTCAGAACTACTGGGTCCCCAGATCAATGGGCCTCTTGTGGGTCTCTCCCCATCCTTTGGCCTCAGTTTCTCCATCTGGAACAGTGTGTTGCTAACTGCATTTGAGAAACCAAGGGCCAAGACACCTTTGAAATTGAGGTGTTGTTCCCCCTACCTCTCCCCCGCCGCCACACACATCCTCCCCCATTCCTCCTCCCTCCTAGTACACACCTCCAGCCCCAACACCTATGCCTCCTGCCTCTCCTTCCCCTGCAGTCCCACCCTCCCCAGAGCTGGTGAAGCGGGTCCGGGACCTGTACCACAAGCGCCTGCCTGATGTCCGCTTCCTCATCCCTGTGCTCAATGGTCTGGAGAAGGTAGGGCACTGGGACGCCCCTCAGCCTGCCCTGGGCAGGGCCAAGGCAGCAGAGCAACGCGCTTCCCGGAGAAGTAGTTGAGCCAGAGGCAGAAAGACAGAAGGTGGGGTCGTATCTAGTCTCTGGTCCGAAATCTTAGAAGCCCCTGACACCCAGGTACCCCAGAATGCTATGAGCTCTGTGACCTCAAGCAAGTCACTTAACCTCCCTGAGCCTCCATTTCCTCATCTGTAAATGAGGAGCTCTGCTGGCATGGTGGTTGACTGCTTGACTGTTAAGCAGAAGGTGGCGATTCAGACCTACCCAGCAGCTCTGTGGACGGAAAACCTGGTGAACTGCTCCTGTAAAAATTACAGCCTAAAAACCCTATGGGCAGCTCTCCTCTGTCATGTGGGGTCATTATGAGTCAGAATCGACTCCGTGGCACGTAACAACGACAAAATGAGGATCACAGTGCCCTCCTCCCCCAGCTTGTCCTGAGCCTGAGGGAAACACATAGGAAGCCCTTCCCCTCAAACATGTTCTTCCCAGACCAGGTCTTATCTCTAATGGCTGTGGGGCCTTGCGTGAGTTTCCACAGCCCCACCTGTAGTCAGAGAGCGTGTGGGGGTGGTAGTTCCCCTGGCCCGTGGGACGTGCTGTGTGGAGGGACTCAGGTGGGGAATAACGTTAATGGGGCAGATCAGGCCCAGTGAACTGGGGTGAAGGGCCAGCCACAAGGGACGGAGTGTGGGAGAGAAAGAAAGCAGTGGAGGGGTTTGATGTGGCCAGATCCTGCCCCTCCACTTCCCAGGGCAAGCGGAGGAGGCAGGTTGTCAGGGAGCGGGTGTATCTGACCTGCCCCCTTGCCCCTCTCCCTGTAGAAAGAGGTGATCCAGGCCCTGCCCAAACTCATCAAACTCAACCCCATCGTGGTGAAAGAGGTCTTCAACCGCCTGCTGGGCACCCAGCACGGTAGGTGACACCCTACTCAGCCGGCACAGTTTTCTTCCTCTTGGCTCCCTGTGCCCAAGCTCCCTCGGGTCTCCCACCACCCCAGCCATGTAGGAGGTGAGGTGGGGGTGCTGGAGGCGCCGGATGCCATCTCTCGGGGCTGCCCCTGGATAGCTGCCTGAACGGCAGCCCTCCTTTGGCGTCTGTGCTGGGGCCTCCCTCCAGCTGAGCCAGTTACTGCTGTTTCCTTTCCAAGTGCCTCCCTGTCCAGGACCCAGCTATCCTCTAGGCGCCCTCAGCCACAGGCTGCACCCCTGCCTTTCTTCAGGTCTTGCCTGAGCCCCTCACACTGTAGGTGAGGCACATTTGGTTTGACATGGAGGCTTTGGGGCAGTCAAAAAAAAGAAAAAGTAAAACACTTAACTTAGAAAAATGGCCAAGTCAGGTGAAATGGAGTAGCTGGAGCCAGGGTGGGAGTGAGGCTAGCTGGAGCTCCATATGTAACCTGCTGATTTGAAAAAAAGAAAGAAGAAATGGACAAGTGTCTGGGAACATAAAATGGCAACAGCCAAGTGCCGTCTCCTCTAGCTTCCTTCCCTGCAGGGTCCACTCTGCCAGGGCCCCTGGGCTATGGAAGGTTCCAGGCACTGGTTTGCAAGTCCACTGCCTGGCCCCATCCTGTCCTGTCCAGTAAATGTCCACAAGCGTGTATGTGCTGTGTGGTCAGTTCTGGGGACCCAGCAGTGGGCCTGCCGTCCTAGCCCTGCCCTCATGGGTGCACAGCCCAGTAGGGGAGAGACAGAAATGACTTTAACCTGCTTAGTGTTGCTTTTAGGAAGGTGGGAACCCAGTGTGGGCAAGGAGGAGAGCGGAATGAAGGCCTTAAGCTGCCTGGGGAAGGCCTCTCCTGCTTCCTCTTCTTGTGCTCTCAGTCTTTCTTCCCCAACTCCAGCCTTTTGTCCCCAAACCCTCTCTAAAGTAGACGGAGCCTCGTTTTCATTCACTGCCCCCAATCTGGGGAGCTCAGACCCATCTCTTCACCTCGACTTCCATGCTGTCTCCTCCCACACCCCCATCCCACCTGCTGCAGGTGAAGGGAATTCAGCCCTGTCCCCCTTGAACCCTGGAGAGCTTCTGATTGCATTGCACAACATCGACACAGTGAAGTGCGACATGAAATCTATCATCAAAGGTGAGGCACTGTCCCACCCGCAAGCACCCACATGCCTCCCTCGCTGGGACCTGCCAGGTTGGAGATTGTGCCTCCCACAGTCCCACCTCAGAGTTCCAGAGAGCCCTCATTCCTGTCCTTCCCTCCACGTTCCTTTCTCTCCTTCCCCCATCTAAGGAACCGATGCCCTACTATGCTGTGGCACAGAGTAGCCCAGGAGAAATCTGGGGCCTGCCCTCCTTCCCTAGCCCTAGCCCAAGCAACAGGGGAGCAGACTTATAGCTGAGCAGGCTTAGAGGCCCAGCTGGCAAGCAGATTTATTCAGGACTTGAACCCCGAGAGCTGTGCACCCGGGCGCTTCTGGACCGAGAATAGAGTCCAAGTCCACCCTGGGCCCCAAGGCGGGGGAGCAGGCTTCTGTGGGGGGGCGGGCAGCTCTGGCTGGCTTGTGACCATCTGCAGTATCACAGTAGCACCGTTCACCAAGAGCTTATTCTCAGCCACCATCTCCCCAAGTGCCTTGCAGGCCTGCTCCTGCTGAACCCTCACCACACACTGTCTGGTAAGTATGATGACAAGGAAACAGAGGCTCCAGAGAGGTTAAGTAACTTGCTCAGGGTCACACAGCAGCTAAGTGGTATAGTGGAAAAATACAGAGACTCTGAAGTCAAATGGACCTGAGTTGGAATCTCAGCTCTCCCTGTTCCACCCACATGAAGCGCCTGGGGTCTCAGGACCACCACCCCTGAGAAGGCCTCTCTTCCTCAGCTCCCCCGCGCTCCCCTCACTCCCTCTCCCCAGGGCCAGCCTTGCCCAAGGAGGTAGAGGCCCTTTCTACTCAGAAGCAAACTTTTCTTTGACTCTTCCTCACTTTGAAGAGAAGAATGGGGAAGGAGAGTCCCCTATGTGGTTACTTAGTTTCATATTAGCTTGAAGTGGCTTCTTCAGCTACGTGTTGGTTAGCCTTCCTCAGCAAGTCCTTTCAGAAACTGGGTAAAGGTGAAGAGAGAGACTGGGAGAGGTTCGAGTCCACATTCAGGCTGAGGAGGAGAGATAGTGAGCGAAGGGGCAGTAGGGTGAGATTTGGGAAGGTGAAAGGTGCTAGTCCTGGAGTAGTGTGGTCTGTTAGGCGCCCAGAGCAAAGTTAGGGGCCCACTCCCAAGGACAGTATGCTCAGACGGTGTGCAATTTAAGGGAGTTCATGGACACCCTGCCCAGGCCCCCATGGTACATGGAGGAGGCAAGGCCCAGGGATAGAGAGGGCCTTGCTATGGGTCACACAGGCCCTGGAGGTGTCAGCAAGTCCTGCCCTTATAGCCCCATCCTTCTCTCACAAGGTGCCCTTAGCTCAGCCTTTGCCTCCCTGGGCCCACAGACAGGCTCCATCCCTACTAAATTCTCAGCAGCCCTCCAGCCGGTGTCGCCACCTGCGGTTTGTCCCCCCACCCAGCCCAGCCTGTTCTGTACATTTTTCTCCTGCTCAAGTACCATGGCAAGTGTTGCTTGCACCAGGAACCCCTCTCGACTCTTAAGTTCCAGGGCAACAAAAGCCCAGTGTTTTTGTGCAGTGCTTGAGTCGCCGGTGCCTGATAGTGTATACGCAGGCGGTTCTGGCACTCACACCCTCCAGAGGCCCCCCCGTCTCTGGTGAGTGCTTCTATAACTGGACCTGCCTCAGTGCCAGGCTCATCAACTAAGGAAACTGCCCCTCTGCTCAGCCCTCTGCCTACCCTGACCCCCTGGGGCTCACAGTCCAGCCGAGGGAGACAGACCTGTCTTCAGACAGTGACAACCCAGAGTGGGTGGGGCTGGGCCAGGGGAGCCTAGAGGGGGCGCCAGACCCAGCCTGGGTGTGAGGCATCCGGGAGGACTTCCTTGAGGAGGGGGCACCTGAGCTGATCCCACTGAGGGATGAGTAAGGGTGAGCTGACAGGGAGAATACAGTCTAGGAGAAAGGAAGAACCTTTACAGAGGCAAGGGATGAACTGACAGCCCAGGTTCTGGAACTGCGGGGTTGAACCAGCTGAATCTCAGGGCTTGGGGCAGGAGCCTGATCTAGAGGTGAAGTTAGCCTGCAGCCAGTGGAAAACCATGGCCGGCTGCCCACACAGGCCTCAGGCCACAGCAGGGTGGGGGTGGGGGTTGGACTTGATCTCTGGAGGGCCAGGTGTGGAGGGTGGTTTAGAGGACTGTGGGGGGGGCCCGGGAGGGAGCTGACAGGCGGTAGATTCTGGAAGCATGAGGTGGCAAAGCAGGCAGGACCCAGTGACCCCCTGTGAGGAGGAGAAGGAAGTGCTTCCTGGCTTTCTGGCAGGTTCTCTCTGGCACAGCCCTCACCATCTGCACTCTCTCTCTCCTCTGCCCCTTTAGCCTAGACCCGCAGCCTCCTCCCTGCCTGTCTCCCTGTAATGCTTCTCCCCTCTGATCCCCCCCATTCCTTATAGGCACTCCCACCCACCCCGCTCCCCATTAGCCTGTCAAGGATTAGGGGCCTCTCTTCTGGCTCAATAAAGACTTCCTGGCCAACACACTCACATGGCAAGTCGTGTTTGGGGAACAGTGGGTCCCAAGGCAGTTCCTGGGGTCTCCCCATTAGCACAACAGATCAGGGCACCACTCCCCACTCCTGAGGGGACAGACCCCAAGGCCTGCCCTGGTCTGCCTGCTTTCTTGGTTGCCGTGTGGTACCAGCCCTCCTTGGGCCCTTCCCGTCCTGGCCCTGGGTGTGGAGCTGGAGTGCTCATCCTAGGCCCAGGCCTCGTCCTCTTGCCCCTTTCTTCCTTACGAGTCCAGTGACTGTCCCTGCATCCCCCACATAACCCTAGGCCAGGTGTCCTCCCCATCATCCTGGCAGAGCGCAAGCCTTCCTCCCTGGTCAGGGTTGGGGAGTGGCAGTTCCTTGACCAGCCTGATGATGGTGGCAAGACATCTCTGTCCCCTGTGGTGGAGCTTAAGGAAGTCAGCAGCTGCCTGCCTTCTTGGGAGCGGGGGAGGGTAGGGCTGTGCCACCCTTGTCAAGCCAGAATGAGTCTCCAGGGGTTGGCAGTGTCTCCCCCCGCCAGGCTTTGGGAGGGCTGTCCCCCAAAGAGAAAGTGTCAAGGTCTCCCCACTCCACCGAGCGTGGGGCTTTCCAAGGGCTAGGCTAGTGTCCCCTCAAAAAGGGGCCTATGCTGGGTGGGGGCATCTTCCTATCTGGCCGGGAGCTTCAGCAGGTCAGGGCTGGGGCTCTCGAAGGGCGTGGGCTCCCACCTCGCAGGGCAGCTGGGCAGGGAGGACAGGCCTGCTCTCCGCCTCCTCACAGCCACCAACCTGTGTTTCGCTGAGCGGAACGTGTATACGTCGGAGGTGCTGGCCGTGGTGATGCAGCAGCTGATGGAGCAGAGCCCCCTGCCCATGCTGCTCATGAGGACCGTCATCCAGTCCCTGACCATGTACCCCCGCCTGGGGGGCTTCGTCATGAACATCCTGTCCCGGCTCATCATGAAGCAGGTAACCACCCATCCCCATCTCGGCATTTCCAGCCTCTGTGTTCCTCCAGTCCCCACTCCAGAGGGAGCCCAGATGAGGAGGCTCTACGGGACTGCCCAGCCCCTCAGCCCCGCCTCCTGCCAAGACAGGGCAGGACCCAGGGGTCTGGGGTTCCGACAGCTACAGGATGGAGACATGAGTGCAGGTATAGGGCTGAGAGAGGTGCTAGACTCCAGGGACAGGCACCCAGGAAAGGCATAGCCACCTCCCTGCACTGTGCATCTGGCCAGGATATGTGTGCCAATACTCTGGAAGATGGCCCAGTTGTCAAGAGAAGCTAAAAGCCTGGGTTTCCAGAAAATACCTCAGTGCAACAGAACGCAAACCCCAGTCTGGATTTGGCTCACAGGCGGCCACTGTGCAACATCTGGCACCGAGGTTACAAAGGAACGAACAAGCCTGGGCTCAGGTCTAATTCCACCCCTTTAACACCCGTGTGACCCCAGACGAGTCCCCACCCCTCCCTGGGCCTCGTCTGTGTGACAGGGCCATCTCGGCCTCCCAGCGCTGCATCCTCACAAAGCACGAGAGTGCAGCGAGAGGGCCGCTCAGCACTCCTGCCCTTTCCCAAATCGCCCTCGCTCCAGCGCCTGGATGCCCTCCACCAGGAGGCGGGGCCGTGGAGCCCGAAGAGTCTATGATCTCTGTGATCCTGGAGATTTGGGCACCTCGGGGCCCCATCCTGGCATGGTCTCTCGCCCAGTTTTGGGGCTGGGTGGCCGCCTGCCTGCCTCACAGTCACTCCCTACTATCCATCCAGGTGTGGAAGTACCCCAAGGTGTGGGAGGGCTTCATCAAGTGCTGCCAGCGCACCAAGCCCCAGAGCTTCCAGGTCATCCTGCAGCTGCCACCCCAGCAGCTAGACGCCGTCTTTGACAAGTGCCCCGAGCTCCGCGAGCCCCTGCTGGCCCACGTCCGCTCCTTCACGCCCCACCAGGTACCCCAGGGGTCTGAGGGACTGGCTGGGGAGGCCAGAGGGGAGCCCCGCACTGCCACAGGTCCTGGGCTCTGGGGTGCGCAAGGGGTCTCCTGCCAGAGCTCCCCACGATGCCCCTTCCTGCTCTTCACCTGCTCTAGCAAGCACACATCCCCAACTCCATCATGGCCATCCTGGAGGCCAGCGGCAAGCAGGAGCCGGAGGCCAAGGAGGCACCCGCAGGGCCCCTGGAAGAGGTGAGGGTCCTGCAGTCCCTCCCTCCCACCATGCCCTCCCCACCCCAGGAGGCTGCTCCTGCTCAGGGGGGTGGGCTGGGAGGACAGTTGCTCCGCATTCCCTGTGGCCACAGCGAAGGCCACAGCGAGAAGCTGTCGCCGTCCAGCCCCCCACCCTGCTCCCTACCTCCGCCCTGCCCCTCACCCTGCTCCCTACCTCTGCACTGCCCCTCACCCTGCTCCCTACCTCCGCCCTGGCCCCCACCCTACTCCCTACTTCGGTATGTGCTCCGCTCTCCCACCGTCCCATCTAGTCTCTTCTTTCCCGCCTACCATCCTCTGAGAGCAGCCGGGTCCTCCCAGCCCCACCCCATCTGCGACTCTGTGTGCCCTTCCCCACGCCCAGGACGACCTGGAGCCCCTGGCCCTGGCGCCGGCGCCGGCCCCGGCCCCCCGGCCCCCTCAGGACCTCATCGGCCTGCGGCTGGCCCAAGAGAAGGCCCTAAAGCGGCAGCTGGAGGAGGAACAGAAGCTGAAGCCCGGAGGAGTGGGGGTCTCCTCCTCCACTTCCTCCTCCTCGGCTTCCTCTTCCTCGGCGTGGCCGGGCCCGCCCCCACCTGAGGAAGCCATGGATTTCCGGGAGGAGGGGTCCGAGTGTGAGACCCCCGCCATCTTCATCAGCAAGGACGACGACTCAGGGCTGACTGAGGCTGCGCTCCTGGACTCGAGTCTTGAAGGGCCCCTACCCAAGGTAGAGACGGTTGCCTCAGAGCGGCAAAGGAAGACACAAGCCAGGGCCCCGGGGTGATGTGTGTGTGTCCTGTTCCCAAGCTGGGAGGAGGGTACAGCCGGAGGGTAACCTGAGAGGTGGGACTACCCTATCACTGACGGCCCCCTTTCCTTGTCACCAGGAGGCAGCAGCGGGCGGGCTGACCGCAAAGGAGGAGCGGAGCCCCCAGGCCCTCGCCCCTGCCGGAGAAGACGCCGCGAAGACCCCCAGCCCAGTCGGCGAGGAAGCCGGGGAGCCCGAGACCAAGGGGAACAGTTGACGGGAGTTGGGAGGGGCGCGGGCGGGGCAGGGTTTTGCCCTTCAAACAATAAAAAATTTGCTTGTCTGTGGCGGAGGTGCCGTCTCTCTCTGTTTAATACCCTGTCTGCCATGGGGCGGCGCAGCGCGCCCAGGAGCCCGCGGCCAAACTCCACGTGCGTGGCGCTGCGCCTGCGCGGAAGCTCTCCCCTGGTAACGGCCCGCCTCTTCCCTCATCCTTAGAAACCGGCGAAGGTAGCTTAGCTGCTGCCAGGCGTGTGTAGGCGGGCGAGTCTCCTGGCCTGCCTATCTGCAAGCCTTTCTTCCAGAAGTTTGCTCCCCTCTTTGAGCCATGTGGGACCCACCGCCCGACCCTGACCACCCTTCCCAGCAGCCCACGAGCCGGAGGAGTTCCCAGGGCTCGGATCGGCGGCCCAGCTGGGACTCTTCTCAACTCCAGCCCTCAGTCCCAGAGGAACAGCCGCTGATGCCGCTTGGCCCCCAGATGCTGCCACAGCAGCAGGCTAGTCAGGAACTCTGGGCGAACCATCCCAACCTGTCCCAGATGTCCGAAGCTTTCCAGGCTCCAGAAGCCCGGATGGGTAGTGTGGAGTACCCGATCCGGGGTGCGGGCTACTCCCAGGAGTTCCAGCCCTATTCTTACATAGATGAAAACAGGGGCCAGGGCCTCGAGCACAGGGCCAGTCTGCTGCTGCAGGAGGTGGACCAGGCCCATGGCAACCTCCTCCAGCACCTGGAGTCAGCATACCAGGACCCCCGGTCTGAACTCTTAGGCCAGTTCAACCCCTACCAAAGAGAGGACCTGCAGCTTGAGGACACCCAGCACCAGCCCTACGTGAGGAATGACCCTGACATCCACTACTTGCCCTCCGAGCTGGCCTTCGGGACCTATGGTATGGAGGTGCCGGAACCCGAGCCCCGGGAGCTGGCTGTGCAGAACGCCAAGGCCTACTTGCTGCAGACCAGCGTCAAATGTGACCTCAGCCTGTGAGAATGGCGGGGAGGGGGCAGGACCTAGGCAGGGAGGAACCCCCAGCCGCGGCTCTGGGGTGTCAACAGATCACCCCCTGTAGAGAACCAGCAACTGCTCTGCGGGCATCTTAGACTAGGAGTCAGGGAATAAATGCAAACCATAGTTAGCATTTACTTACCAAGCATGGTGCCAAGCACTTCACACACCAACAGCTATTTCTCATAACACTGACATTAGCACATCTACTGTCCCTATTTTACAGAGGAGGAAACTGAGACAAAGAGGTTAGGTCGCTTATCCAAGATCACACAGCTAAGATGTGGCAGAACTGGGATTCCAGTACTAGTGATCTGGCTCTTGAGGCCCTGTTCTTATCCACTAAACTTCCCTGCCTGAAGAAGGAACTTGCCAAGGCTACTTAGCTGCAGTCACAATACATCTCTCAGCCCCCATTACACCCTCATGAAGCTCACCATTTAGTGGAGAGAATGAACAATAAACGTAATAAATGACAAGGACTAAGGTGAAAAGGCAGGGTGAGGGGGATTGGGAGTGTATGTTAAATAGGTTGAGGTCAGAGAAGGCCTCTCTGAGGAGGTGACATCTGATCAGAGACCTAAAGGAGGTGACAGCATCCTGTAGGTATCTGGTGGAAGGGTAGTCCAGGTGTAAGGCACAGCAAGTGCAAAGGCCCTGATGCTCAGTGTGTTTGAGGAACAGTGAGGAGGCTAGCGTGGCTGGAACTGAGGAGGCAAGGGGGAGAAGTGGGAGGAGATGAGGTTGTAGAAGTAACAGGTCTTGGAAAGCACCCCATCTCTCCCCTGCTCAAAACTTTCCATGGCTCCCCAGTGCCCTCAGGAGGAAGTGCAGGCTCCTCACCACAGCCTTCAAGGCCCCTGCCCATCTCCAAATTTCCTCTAGTCAGTACCTCCTTCTACCTCAGACCCTAGAGTCCGGTCAGAAATAACCTCTTACTGTTCCCCAACAGATCCCAACCCTCGGGAGCTTCAAGTCCCCTTCCTGAAAAGCCTTGGCCAAAGTTGTCCCTGGCTCACCTCTTCTTACCCTTCCCAACTTCAATGCTGGCCCTCCACCACACCCAAGACTGCTGACAAAGGGTTTTCACACAGGAGAGAGTTACATATACATGCGTTGCAATTACACCAACCTGGTTTCAAATCCTGGCTGTGCCACTACTGTGTGACCTGGTGACTTGCAGAGTGGGGATCGTAAGTGTTCCTTGGGTGTATGGCTGTGGTTAGGATTCAGCATTGCTCTCAAGTGCCCAGCACGGTGCCTGGCTCAGTGGATGGATGCCATCGCAATACTATTTTCACTCCAGCCTCCTCGTCTCCCAAACCCCTGACACCCTACTCCAGCCACACTGGTCTCTTCAATGTTCCTCCACCATGCTAGGCACATGCCCATCTCAAGACCTTTGCACGTCCCCAATCATGCCATCTGCAAACCATGACAGTTTTGTTCCTTCCTTTCTAGTTGTGATACTTTTTTTTTTTCTTTTTCATGTCATATTGCACTGCAGTACGGTGTTAAATAGAACTGGCGAATGTGGGCATCTTTGTTCCCAATTTCACAGGGGAAAATAGTCTTTCACCATGTTTGACTTGTGCTGTAGATTACTTGTAGGTACCTTTATGAGATTACAAAAATCACCTATTATTGCTACCTTGCTACAAATTGTTTTTAATCATGAATGGGTGTAGAATGCTATCAAACAATTTCTCTGCATCTACTGAGGTGATCTTACATATCTCCTTTAACATATTAATGTGCTGCATCACATTTTTCTATTTTTCTATTGTCAGTCCAGTCCTACATTTCTGGTATCAGTCCAACTTAATCTTGATGTTTTATCCTTCTTATAAATTGATGGATACAATTTGCTAATATTTTGCTTAAGGCTTCTGCATCTAGATTCTTAAATGAGATCAGCATGGAATTTTCCTTTCTCCTAGTTTCCTTGAGTCTTGGTATCAAGATCATGTTAGACTCATAAAATGTCTCAGGACCTACGCACCTTCTGTTCCCCGTGCCTGAAGTACTCTTCCCCTGCCCCCCCCCCACCCCATAGCTGCATGGTTGGGCCCTCACTTCATTCAGATCTCCGCTTGAATGTCCCTTGGTGAAGCCTTCCCTGGCCTTCCTATTTAAAATTACAAACTATCTCCTGTCCCGGGGGCGGATTAACCAGTAAACAAGGTATGCATCGACTTAATTGTAGCTCACTTCATTGTAGTGTACTTACTAATCTGTAGCGCACAATTTCACATGGGTTTCACCACGTCAACGATGCAAAAAACAGGTGAAATTGTGCAGTACAGAGTAGTAAGTAAGCACAAGGAAGCCCGTGCATACCTTGCTTATTGGGTAATCCGTCCGTCTTCTGCCTGTCCCTGAAACTCCCTGTCCCCATTCCCGACTTTATTGGTCTCCATAGCAATTACAGGAGTCCCTGCGTGGCACAAATGGTTAAGCGCTCAACTACTAGCCAAAAGGTTGGCGGTTTGAACCCACCCAGAGGTTCATCGGAAGACGGGCCTGGTGATCTGTTTCTGAAGGGTCACAACCTTGAAAACCCTATGCGGAATCTACAGCACTGCCACTAACAACAACGATAGCAATGACCCCTCCCTCCACATTGTTCTAACGTGCATTTTACCCCCAAAGGTAGCCCATGTGACAGAGCAGAACTGCCCCATAGCGTTTTCTAGGCTGTAATCTTTACAGGAACAGATCACCAGGTCTTTCTCCCACGGAGCCCCTGGGTGGGTTTGAACCACCAATCTTTTGGTTAGCAGCCAAACTCTTAACCATTTCACCACCAGAACTCCTTCCCTGACGTAGGATATTTTGCATATTTGATGAACGTCCATCTCCCCCATCAGAATGCCAGCTCCACCAGGGCAAGGACTTTCTTCCCAACTGTGTCCCCAGCGACAGGCACAGGGCCAGACACACAGCAGTGAGCCCACTGAATGAGTGATGTCTTCCTCCCTCCCCCCTCCCTCCCCTACCTGAGGCAGGTACGAGCACCTGGTGAACCTGCTGACTAAGCTCTTGAACCAGAGGCCTGAGGACCCCCTGTCCATCCTCGAGTCATTGAACCGCACCACGCAGCGGGAGTGGTTCCACCCGAAGCTGGACACCATGCGAGACGACCCCGAGATGCAGCTCACCTACGAGATGGCTGAGAAGCAGAAGGCGCTATTCATCCGGAGCGGTGGTGGTGAGGGCGAACAGGAGATGGAAGAGGAGGTGGTGAGTGAGCCAGTGGGGAGGGGCCCGGGATGGGCGCTGCCCCAGGTTTAAAGCACAGGCTGTGCTGAGGTCTAGGGGTGAGGGAGAGCAGAAACGGAAACGATTTCAGTCTGGTGTGTGTACCCCGACGGAGGGAGGCGGGGCCGGGCCACGGAGGCCTTGAACGCTAGGCTAAGGGTTTGTGCTGTGTTTCCTAAGGGCACTGGGCGCCATGGGAGGGTTTCCGGCAGAGGAAAGAGGGGGTCAGCTCCGCTTTTTAGAAAGCTGATTCCAGGGGCCACTTGGAGGTGGAGGCTTCTCTCTCCCGTCATCTGTTACCCCTTCTCCCAGAAAAAACTGTCTTTAACCTCTTTTCTGTGAAACCACTGCCTCCTGGGGTCTCGCAACACTGAATCATTTGCTCCCTCTCCCCGGCCTCAGTTTCCCCATTTGTCAATTGAGGCTTGCTGAGAAGTCTTCCACCCCATAGCCCATTAACATTCTACCCTCCTCAATATATAGTTCCATGAGTCTTTGTTTCCAGCATGGAGTGAATGCTTCAAATTTGGCGAAGTGTTCTTTCACCCTTCGTTCAACAAATTTTTTATTGAGGACTCTGTTTATAACAATAATACTGACACCTCCTAGGCCCTCTGCATTGTCTAGTTTCACCCCTAAAACAACCCTGTGAGGCAAGGACTATTGACTTACTATGCCCATGTTATGGGGGAAGGAACGCAGGCTCAGAGGGCACAAAGCTAGGAAACCGGGAGACAGGCTTAGGGCGCCAGGATCGTGACCATGAACTCCAAGGCCAGTGTTAGAACCTTTACCCTATATGTGGATGTTCTTGGTCGGTGCTTGCTTCTGTGATTCTGAGACTGGAGGATTCTGGCGACCATGGGGAGGGGGATCGGCGGGGAACGCGTGAAGAACCTGATCAATGAAACGACCCCTTTGGGTGAACAAAGAGTGAGTGAGAACCTAAGTCTTAGGCAGGAAGGACACCTTTTTTTTTTGAAGGTTTACAGAACGAACTAGTTTCTCATTAGACAGTAACATACTGTTTTATGACAGTGGTTAACAACCCCACGACATGTCAACACTCTCGCTTCTCGACCTTGGGTTCCCTATTACCAGCTTTCCTGTCCCCTCCTGCCTTCTAGTCCTTGTCCTTGGGCTGTTGTGCCCCTTTCGTCTGGTTTTGTTTTATGGGCCTGTCTAATCTTTGGCTGAAGGGTGAACCTCGGGAGTGACTTCATTACTGAGCTAAAAGGGTGTCTGGGGGCCATACTCCCGGGGTTTCTCCAGTCTCTCTCAGGCCAGTAAGTCTCGTCTTTTTTTGTGAGTTAGAATTTTGTTCTACATTTTTCTCTAGCTCTGTCCGAGACCCTCTGTTGTGATCCCTGTTACAGCAGTCAGTGGTGGTAGCCAGGCACCATCTAGTTGTACTGGACTCAGGCTGGTGGGGGCCATGGTAGTTGTGGTCCATTAATCCTTTGGACTAATCTTTCCTTTGTATCTTGTTTTCTTCATTCTCCCTTGCTCCCGAAGGGGTAAGACCACTGGAGTACTTAGATGGCCGCTCACAGGCTTTTAAGACCCCAGACGCTACTCACCAAGGTAGAATGTAGATCATTTCCTTTGGAAACTGTTATGCCAATTGAACTAGATGTTCCATGAGACCATGGAGGAAGGACAACTTTTACCTGAGAATATGGTTTTAAATTTCAGACCACCATTCTCTCCCTATGAGGCCGTACCATCTCAGAACTGCATCTATCACCTCTTCTCTCTCCATTGTCTCCATCTAACGCAAGTCCCTGAGGGCCCTGCCTCCTTAGAACGCTTTTTCCCCAAAGGCCCCCCCTTAGGACGCCGTCCCCTAAAGGCCCTGCCCCCTTAGAAAGCGTCTCCCCCAAAGGCCTCACCTCCTAAGAACACTATGCCCCCAAAGACTCGCCCCCTTAGAACACCATCGTCTTAAAGGGGGTGGGCGAGGGGGGACAAACTCGTTGTGGTGGCATTGATTCCAACTCAGCGACCCTATAGGACAGAGTAGAACTGCCCCATAGGGTTTCCAAAGAGCAGCTGGTGGATTCCAACTGCCGACCTTTTGGTTAGCAGCCGAGCTCTTAACCACTGTGCCACCAAAACCGAAAACCCAAAGCCATTGCCATGTAGTCGATTGCTACTCATAACAACCCTATAGGACAGAGCAGAAGTGCCCCACAGGGTATCCAAGGAGCGGCTGGTGGATGCGAACTGCCGACCTTTTGGTTAGCAGCCCAGCTCTTAACCACTGCACCACCAGGGCTCCGTCAAAGCTCCGCCTCTTTCAAATTCAATCCCTTGAGAGACTCCGTGCCCTTAGAACACCTTGTCCTTGAAAGCTCCACCCTTGTAGAATAAGGGGCTGGGGTTCTCAATCCGGGGTTGTGAAAGGGCAACATTGTGGGCGTTTGTAGCCTGGGCGTGTTTCTAGGAAGAGATTCATAACCACTCATTCAGCGTTTCGTGTTTATTTTTCTGTCTGGTGTGAGGCAGGGCTTTCATTTTTCTCACTTTATATTTTTTTCCAAATGGCTAGCCACAATCCCAATACCATTTGTGGAATAATCCATCTCCCGCCGCCACTGCTTTGAGAAGCTGCCTCTATCGTTATTTAGAAGGTTTTTTTTTTTTACACATAATGGTAAAGTGGAAGCTGTTTAGAGCCGGCAAGGTGGCTCCCCAGTGAAGAGGCACTGGGGGGGCTGTGCTCTCCCCTCACCCCCATTCCCATCCCCAACCTCCCTCCCTGTCTGTATACCAAACCGAGAGAGCAGTTTTCAGCAACATAGTAGCCTGAGTCTAAATCTCATCTCTGACTAAGCAGTCAGCAGAATCGCTTTTGGTTGCAAGCAACAGAAACCAAAAAACCCAAACCGGTTGACTTCCACTCGATCCCCACTCATGGCAATGCCACGTGTTACAGAGTAGAACTGTTACCGCAATAACGGGGATTGGAGCCTCCTGCCACAATAGCCAATTCTGAGACAGGGGTGAGGTGAGCAAGAGTTTTATTATATATCGATATATAGGAGACAGAGGGGAATAGATTCCCCCAAAAAAACTGTCTCCCCACTGGGGCTTGGCTGAAGGCTTTTATAGGGACAAGATTATGGGTTTTAGAAGTTTGTGTTAGTTCCCCCTTGAGGTGGTCACGTCCCAGATGAGTTAATCTTTTCTCGGGGGTTATCTGGCGACATCCTGGTTTTCTTGTCCCGAGATGGGTGCTTTGTTCGGTTTGTCATTCCTAGATCATTATCACTTGTTTTCCACCTTCCAAGGAGGAACATCGGTTAATCTTAAACCTTTCGTACAGACTGGAACCGGAGGGAAAAAACAAGATCATGAGACAATGTGGCGGTTAGCAATGGGGAGGAAATAATAGTGAGCCAGGCCTGTGCAGCCTCTTCCAGAACAGCTCCATAGGTGTTCTGCAATGTTTACAGAAGCAGATTGCCAGGCCTTTCTTCCATGGTGCCACTGGGTATGTTCAAACTGCCAACCTTTAGGTTAGTAGTCCAGCGAAAGCTGTTTGCACCACCCAGGGACCTGAGTGCTCGGTTAAAATGGCCCAAACAGTTCAGCAAGATGTTTAACTTATCTCACTTAGCCAGGAATCTGGAGATGGGCAGTTCAAAGTTGATGCAGCATATATGTGAGGTCATGAAGCATCCTGGGTCCTTCCTCCCCTTCACTCTTCCTTCTTCATCCTGATGGCTTTTAGTCCTTGAGGTTGTCACTTCATGTTCCAAAAAACGGCTGCTGCAGCACCAGCCATCACGGAATATATTCCCCAGGGACTTCCCCTACATCTCACTAACCAGAACTGGTTCTGGGGCCATCACTAGACCACAGGCAGCTGGGTTCCAGAATGTTTTCACTCTCTTAACTCTATGGAAGAGTCAGGCTAGAGAGCAGGGCTTCAGCCTCCTTCCCCTCTGCCCTCCCACCCCACTTTCAGCAGACAGAGACACCAGTGCCCAACATCATGGAGACGGCCTTCTACTTCGAGCAAGCCGGCATCGGCCTGGGCTCGGACGAGAGTTTCCGCATCTTCCTGGCCCTGAGGCAGCTGGTGGAGCAGCAGCCCATCCTCACCTGCCGCTTCTGGGGCAAGATCCTGGGGCTCAAGCGCAGCTACCTGGTGGCTGAGGTGGAATTCCGGGAGGGCGAGGAGGAAGGCGAGGAGGAGGAGGTGGAGGAAATGATGGAGGGCGCCGACGTCATGGAAGCGCACGGCGAGGAGGAGGGCGAGGAGGACGAGGAGAAGGCAGCCGACATGATCCCCAAGTCCATGTGGAAGCCGCCGCCTGTCATCCCCAGGGAGGAGAGCCGCTCAGGCGCCAACAAATACCTGTATTTCGTGTGCAACGAGCCGGGCCGACCCTGGACGCGGCTGCCCCACGTCACGCCGGCCCAGATCGTGCACGCGCGCAAGATTAAGAAGTTCTTCACCGGCTACCTGGACGCGCCGGTCGTCAGCTACCCGCCCTTCCCGGGCAACGAGGCCAACTACCTGCGCGCCCAGATCGCCCGCATCTCGGCCGCCACGCACATCAGCCCGCTCGGCTTCTACCAGTTTGGCGAGGAGGAGGGCGACGAGGAGGAGGAGGGCGGCGCGGGACGCGATTCGTTCGAGGAGAATCCCGACTTTGAGGGCATCCCGGTGCTGGAGTTGGTCGACTCCATGGCCAACTGGGTGCACCACACACAACACATCCTGCCGCAGGTGAGGACCAGGCGCTTACCCCCCATCCCCGCCGGGGCTGAGGCAGGCGCGGGCTTGCGGGCCTCGGTTTCCCCACCTGCGCAAACCCAAGTGGCTTCCTAATATGATTTCCTAATAGTAATAATGTAGCTTATTCTCGGGAGTCCTTGGGTGGCCCAAAAGATTAAGCACTCAACTACTAGCCGACGGGTTGGCAGTTCGAACCCACCCAGAGGTGCCTCAGAAGAAAGGCCTGGCGATCTGCTTCCGAAAGGGCTCAGCCTTGAAAACTCTGTGGAGCACAGTTCTACTCTGCCCACGTGAGGTGGCCATGAGTATGAGTCTGCTGGAAAGCAACTGACAACATCACGCTTATTCTCTGCTAGGCACTGTGCTAAATACTACTTATTCATTCATTCATTTAACAGGGTTGACAATCCCCTGCCAGAAGCCTTTGGGGCTGGGTGCATTTTTGGAGTTCAGAATTTTTCAGATTTTAAAAAGGTGACAAGGTAGAATTGCCCCATAGGGCTTCCAAGGTTGTAACATTTATGGAAGCAGACTGCCACGTCTTTCTCCCCCAGAGCAGCTGGTAGGTTCAAACCACCAACCTTTCAGTTAGCAGCTGAGCACTTCACCACTGTGCCACCAGGGCTCCTTTACACACTGTATATTATGCAACACCCCAAGCAAGGGGCTGGAGCCACAGCCTACATTCAAGCGTGCTATTATTCCTGCAGCAAAACTTATGAATAACCTCTCGTTTGCTCAGCTCAGGGGTGCTGCCAAATGAATTATGAAGGGGAAAAAAAAAACTTCGTTTTCAAAGCTTTTTGGATTTTGGAATTGTGGATAAGAGATTGTGGACCTATACTTATTGAGTGCCTACTGTGTACCCAGACTCTATTTTATTCATTTGTTCATTCCATGCAACCCCTGCGGGACACTCCTTCATTCATTCAACAAACATTTATTAACTCTACAATGTCTTATGGAGAGGTAGATGCACGTGCCATCCCCAGTTCGTTGTTGACGAAACTGAAGTCGCCTACATGCTAAGCGTTTATGATCATTCATTCATCCATCCATCTATCCATCCATTCATCAACAAACATTTATGGGTTTTCAGTATCTCCTGAAACCCATCAACAATCCAATAAGAGGTATCCATGACACTCCCATTGCACAGATGAGCAAACTGAGATCATATGGGCTGCTGAATGTCAGCTCCACAAGGGCAGGGACTTTGGGGGGGGTCTCTTTTCTCAAGGATGTATCCCAGCATCTAGGGTAGTGCCTGCCTATAGTAGGTGCTCATTAAATATTTGATAAATGAATCCATGAATGAATGGATGCACAAGTGGAGGAAGCCACTTTCCCAAGGTCACATGGGCATCAGGAGGCAGTAGTCCCCCCCTTGTCACTCCAAAAGGGCTTTCAGTCCCCTCTTTCCCTGCTCCCTCCCTGTATGACTAACCTTGTCCCTCCTGCCCACACCTGGACCCCCAAGGACAGGACCAGTGCCCCTAAGTCCTGCTTGGCCCTTGCCTCCCCCCAGGGCACCAGTTGGCCTCTGACCCCGGGGATGCCTCCTGACCTTCTCCCTACCTCCAGGGCCGCTGCACCTGGGTAAACCCTTTGCAGAAGTCGGAGGAAGAGGAGGACCTGGGGGAGGAGGAAGAGAAGGCAGATGAGGGGATAGAGGAGGTGGAACAGGAAGTCGGGCCCCCGCTCCTGACACCGCTCTCGGAAGATGCAGGTAACTGTCCTTCTCACCGCGCACACCACCAGCGGGGGTGCCGACAGCCTGGAGTCAACTATCTGGTCCAACTTGCTGAGCCTCGATTTCCCCACCTGCAGCCAAACCAGGTAGCTCAGGTATAACTCCCTAATAACAAAATCAAATATTTACTTCCTGCTAGGCCCTGTGCAGAAACCTCTGGGGCCTCAGTTGCTTCCTCATCTGTCAAATGGGTATCACAACTGTGCCGCCCTCATGGGGTTTCAGTAACGTGTTCATAGTGTACTGAACAATGCCTGGCACGTGGCAATGGCACAGATGTGGGGTGTGATCTTGTGAGACCCTCATGGGCTTGGGTGGAGGGCCACACGGTCAGGGAGGTCTCCCAGAGGAGGTGGGCCTTGAGATGGATGGTGGATGAATGGACAGGATTTCCTGAGGGTGGGGACATCAGGCACCTGGAGGGAAGTGGAAGAAGCCGGTTTTGAACCCAGAATGTAGTGAGCCCGGTGCCTGCCTGTTCCCTGCCCTATTCCCTGGTCCAAACGGATGGCGGACCTGGGAGTAGAACCACGACTGCCCCCTGCTGGGGGTCGCACTGGGTGCCAGGTACCGTGGCCGATTACACACTATCACCTGGCCTCATGGCCACCCTGCCAGGAAGGTGAGATCAGCCTGCCCATTTCACAGGTGCAACCACTGAGGCTCAAACAGGTGGGATGGCTTCCTGCAGCCTCACAGCAAAGAATGGTCTGCAGCCAGGGTTCAAGCACCTAAGCTGGTGCTGTTAGTGCCTGCAGTTCCCTTCTTGTCCCCGCTGACCCTCCCTCTTTGCCTCCTCCCTTCCTGCTCTCCGCCTCCCTCCAGGGGCCTAGGGGAGGCGGGCCCAGCAGGCTTCATGAGCCCCTGGCCTCGCCACCCCTCTGCCCGCAGAAATCATGCACCTTTCGCCCTGGACGGCCCGCCTGTCCTGCAGCCTCTGCCCGCAGTACTCCTTGGCCATCGTGCGCTCCAATCTCTGGCCCGGGGCTTACGCCTATGCCACTGGCAAGTACGTATCTCCCAGCCCCTCCCAGCAGGGGGCGCGCTGGGCAACTCACCAGAGCAGGCAGGGGTTGGGAGGACCCCTTCAGGAAGCCCCCAGGTTGACACCCGCACCCAAAAAGAAACAAATCAATTGCCTTCTAGTCTATTCCAACTCATAGCGACTCCATACGTTTCAGAATAGAAATGCGCTCCACAGAGTTTTCTCTGTGATGAGAAATCCCAGACTGCGGGTGCCAACCTGTTTGATGAGGAAATGGAGGATCAGAGACGGGAAGGGACTGTCTCGGTCACACAGCACGACAACATTCAAACCTGGGTCTTTGGTTCTCTGGCCCAGGGCTTTTCTGATGCATTGGTCTCAGAGCTGGACAAGATCAGGAGTCCCCTTTGGCGCGACCCTGACAGGGGTGGAGTCTCTTCTCTGAGGGAGCTTACACCTTTCCTGGGCCTCTAGGACAGTTCTAATTTGAGAGTTTTTTTCTCTGTGGGGCAGAATGAAGTCCCTGGGTGGTGCAAACAGTTAATGCACTCAGCTGCTAACCGAAAGTTTGGAGGTTGGGGTCTACCCAGAAGTGCCTCTGAAGAAAAGCCAGGTAATCTACTTCCGAAAAATCAGCGGTTGAAAACCATACGGAGCACAGTTCTTCTCTGACATGCTTGGGGTCACCATGAGTCAGAACAGACTTGATGGCAACTGGCTATTTCTCTATGGAGTGGAAATCTTTCCCACCAGGATCCCCCACCAGTTGCTCCCCAAAGATCCATAGGCCATGGTCACACTGCATCTACACACTCCCCATAGGACCCCCACAGGACCCCTGAACCTCCCTCAGGAGGCACATCCCAGCCCTTCTGCTCTCTCAGCCATCAGATAGTATGGGTGGAACGAGGAGGGCAGGTGCACTTACCAGCTCTCTCCACCAGAGGACAGACTATTTTTCATAGATTTTCCTTTCCCATCTCAATGATGAACCTGTGCTAAGTTTGCTGTTATATGATTCACAGTTGTGGTGGGATTTCATGTAATCTTGATACATTAACCACATTCTTGGCAATTTTTTTTTTTGGAGGCATGCTTGCTTTTGCCAACCCTCTTCTTCTGGCCACACCCTAATTTGCCAACATCCCTCCAAGCTAAAGGTCCAAACTTGGAGCTCTACCTACCTACCTATCCTTCCATCCTCCATCCAACCATCCATCTACCCACCCACCTATCTATCCTCCACTTCCCCACCTATCCATCCACCCACCCATCTATCCTCCACTTACCCACCTATCCATCCACCCACCCTACCCATTGATCCATCCTCCATCCAACCATCCATCTACCCACCTACCACCTATCCTTCACCATCTACCTATCCATCCACCCATTCCACTATCCATGTGTCCTCCATCCAACCATCCGTCTACCCACCCACCACCTATTCTTCACCATCTACCTATCCACCCACCCATTCC